TCCTGTTTAGTATTCGTTAGTTGTTCTGGGATCTATGGAGCACCCTTCAAATGCGATAACGGGGGTGTATTTTCTAAGTTCATGTTTCCCTACTGCTAATTTGTCAGTATGCCCCAGGCAGTAATTTGCTGGGTAATAACACTTCTCTTCGTGGTTCCAATGTAAACCAATCCACAGCTATAAGGGGTTTGATAAACTCCGTTGTTGCTGAAAGCTCTCTGAGATCCTCAGCTCACCTAGACTCTCTCTGCTGGTTTTAGTTGAACTGAATATCGAAATCAGTCATCCATATCATCAACGCAACGTCGAATTTTTCTAAGAGATAGTTTGCCACCACAGAACCTAACGAGTTTAGCGGATCCATCCATTTGTTCATATAAAATGAGTCGATGATGAATAATCAGACACCATGGTGGTTATGTCTGCCGTGATTACTTCCGGATTAGCTATATAGTGTATTCAAACGAGGAACTTCACCAAAATGTCTCAGAAAGTCTAACCTCACATATTATCATCTTTTCAACACAATGGCCCAATATATCTTCAATGATTGACTGTTTTTGCCGTGAGCGGTTCTTGTTGGGTCGTTAAGTATTTGGCCAGCTCATACGTGAACATATCGCATAAACGCAGGCCTTAGTGGTAAATTCTCTTTATGGATTTTTGGCAGACCATATAGACAAGGAGGAAGGGCATTAAATTCACAATGGAACGGAAAGACTAAGGAACAATCGCTTCTTGGATGTACAAATGATCAGAAGTGAAAGTGGAACAATGGGTCACAGAGCGTACAGGAAACCAACGCACACACCAAATGCATCCTCTTCAGCCTCGACAAAAAATGGTCATTAAAACTGAATCATTTGAGAGTTGCTTTCAAATGTAATGGGTACTTATAGCGAAGACGACCCAAGAATAAGAATGCCAAGCCAACTGCTAATAGACCCATCGATGAAAAATCATTCCTGATATTTATGAATACTGTTACGGAACGGATAGGGAGAGTTTGGAGGACCTTCAGCAACACCGGGAGTTTCCCGGATCCCTTGCAGCTATGAATCAGTCTGAATTGGAATCACGAAGAGAAATGTAAGTGTTTGATTATCGATGAAAAATTGACTGCTGTAAATAGCGTGAAATTTTTCTTGTAATCGTTATTAAGTTGAATAAATCTCCAAGAGACAGATAGACTAGAGATCCAGGAGAGGGCACATAAATTATGCAGGACGAGAAATGAAGTTTGGAAAAAAACTATTATTGTTTAATATAAGACAAACGCATTCAACTACTTATAATCGATTATCTATATCCAAAAGAAGGTGAGGGCAGAACAGTAAGTACCCGGCTTTTTTTATAAAAGTTAAATTACGCTCTCAGGCGTACCGACGAATCAGAAGCAGCAGGACATTAGCAGCAGGAGTTAGATAAATTGAAAACTTACCTAATCGTGTTTGAAGACTATATAGGGATACGATAGAAATAATTTCAACCGAACGGAAGAGGGAACTGAAATTGAAAAAGAACATGGTTACCAAGCATCAGGTGTTTTTCATTCAAGCAATAGCAAATAATTTCTACCGATAATAGTGCTATTGAAACAGCTCATCGGAATAACTGAATGCTGAACAGAGGTCATGTTTATTGTTTTGGGGTTTTTGTATTTTGAGTTATTCAATAGTGAATTTGTGAGAGTAGTGTTTTAGTGCGTTTATCATAAACACGAGAAACTGATGAATAGGTAAAAATAAATACTTTCACTCACGGGAAGCATCACAAGAAACCACAACAATAAATGAAAACCGCTGACAGGACTTTGTTTTTGTAGATGTTCGGTAGATGTCGTATCTGAACTATGAACTTTTTAATAGAAACGAGGTCAAACCGTTAATGTATTATAGATGACAGGGCAATTAGAACACTTCCTCCGTTGCCTCATCACCCGCAGTCGTAGACGAAACGTTATGCATGAATACCTGCAGACCACTGCCAACAAACTCGAAAATAGCTCCGGCTGTACTGATTACTGTTCTCGTTTCCATATCACAAATTACGTTTCAGAAAACCTACCCAGTAATATGTTATGGTGAAACCAAGACTAGATACCTATCCTTATTGAGTTTTCCCCGTATAGCAATTAAATTCTCTTAAAACGCTCAACAAAGATGTCTATATCATGCACAGAAGTATTCTACTTTTTTTATAACGACGGAGAGATATTCTTCTCCGTCGTATTCTGGCTTTATTAAGCAAGAAACCTTTTTCAAACACTTTCCTGACTAATATCACGATGGACATTGTGCAGGTTTTCTCACAAAGACAATTGTTGAAGATGCTTCTCATTCGCTCAACAACAGGACTTCGCCAAAATCTATTGAATAATCACGAACCTATGCAGAGCGGTTTTGAGATGTATTACATCCCGCAGAAAAAATCCAATCAGTGCAGTGTGTCCAACCTTATGATAGCTCGACCGTATACCTATATCAAACCTTCGCCTGCCAACTATAATGAAGTAGTAAACAGCACTATGTCGCGCAGCAGAATCCTGTGTCCTCATACTCTTACAGAAATCAAATGTTGACAAATTAATGTCGGCTGTAAGAAACAATAAAAAGCATTATACGATATTGACATACTTTGGTTAACCCACCAATAATATCGCTCGTTTTTTAAAAGGGCAAATTTGGAAGTGATTTGCCAGAAAAAAAACAATTTAGGTAAATTCATTCAGAACAATGAAGACAAAATATCGGAGTCGAATAGATCAGTATAAAAGTTGACTTGTGATTCTTACCCAAAACTTTATATTGGTCACACCGGGGGAACTTCTTCACAGAGAATAAAAGAACATATGAGTAGTTTCTTAAATGTGAAGACCAATTTCACATTTGCAAATCATCTTTTGACAGAGGGGCATGTGTTCAACCACGACTGTGAAGTTTTACACTGCGAAGAGAAAGGTTTCAAACTCAATCTTCTGTTTCGGCAGAACATAGGAAATTCGCGCTACGCTTCCAATGGAGAAGTAGAGAAAAACCAGTGAAGATCAACCTCAAGGCACTGTCTATCTGAAATACATAGCAGGTGTTACCAACCGAATCGGGAAAATTCTGAAGGAGAAAATTAACACCGCCTTCAAATAACCAACGAGGAAAATATCGGAGTATCTGAGATCAGTCGAGCACATGCAGAGTTGCCTATTGGGACAGTCCGAGAAGTCCGCCGAGGAACACAAGATCCTTTTCGAAAATATTAGGAGGCTAGCAACGTCGAATCTTTTTTCAACAAGAAGAAGCCTTAGAAATACACAAACACCAAGAGAACTTCAACAGAAAGGAAGAGAGGACATATCTACCGAAGATCTGGCACACAGAATTGAAAGGCGCCAAAACGAAGCTATGTCACCCAAATCGCGCGGGAAGTACGCGCGAACATGCTATTACAGAAATTGCGCGAAAAATCAGCACTATAAATGACATTGCAGAAATAAGAACTTCAGTTTCAGCTGATACGTCAAGACAACGCCACTGAAGATGACTGCCGCAGTTGAAGAGGAAACGATTGAATCTGTTTTCTAATGTGGAAATTGGTAGTTAGTTTTACATGTTTGGTCCCGTGGGTTGGGCTACCTATCGGGCGCATCCCCATCAGGTGGCGGATAGGGGAACGGCCAGGGGACTGGGAGCCCCGTTCGGGCAGCCAATGTGGCCTTACGGACGGGGTCACCGGACTCCTGGTCAGTAGGGTGAGGAACACCAAAACACCCCAAAAGCCTTTGCGCCATGGACCAGCCTACCCAAGCTAAGGTGTAAGGAATCATGCCGACAGGGGTGATATGCGGTTACGAACGATCCCCTTGGGGAATAGGGCGAAACCTCATTGTAATCAGCCTTCCTCTGGTAAAGCGGGGTTCTGCCAGAGTGGCCAACTCTTCTCCTGCTACTCGTGGAAACGCACATGAATGAAACAAACACAAAAACAGACACAGAAAAAACGAAAACCAATCTCGAGGCTGGGCAGAAATGCTCACCTCAATATATGGCGGTGGCTGAGTATTAACAGAAATGTCCACCCCAATCTACCACTCGGAATGAGGCTGGACATGGGAGATCACCTCGTAATATTATACAAAGGCGTAAGCGCATTTGCGGCGCCGAGGCCAAAAGAAGAGATATAGACGCAGGAGGGCGATATAGAGGCAGCAACTATAAGTGCACCCTCCTCCTCCTCCATTCCACCTCCAACTGCAAGGGCACTTCCTGCGTCGGGCGCCAAGAGCTCCGCCTTGAATAAAGGCAAGGAACCGGCTGCCCCTGCAGAAAAGCGCCCTTACTTAAGCACCCCCACAGAGGGAACCCCAAGAAGGTTGAAGAATCCGCGCAACGACAATAATGTCGCTGCACCTTCCAAAACCTTCATCTACCGATATGAAGGTGACCTGTCCACCTTCCTGGACGATGACATAGAAAGACAACTCCTTGGGAGGAGTCAATGGGTCACATGTGGCCTAAGTGCTGTGGGTCTACACTCACCCTCCCTACTCTACCGCCCGGTCGGTAGCCGGGCGGTTCGACGTGGGTGCTTTGTTCACTCAGTCAATCGGCCGATGTGTGTGTCGATGGTTCAAGCCCCAGGCTGAACGCTCAATTTCCACTTGCTATCGTCCAACTCGTGTTAGGAATCACAAGTTTCGACTTCTGAGGGTTGTTGTTCGTAGGGCTGCGATAGGTGGTTAACGGAAAAAACATAGTTCATACATATTTTTTTAAACATATCCATTCAATAAGTTTGTTAAAAAAATTCTTTCACGATGTTTTTATCTAAACACATGTGAAATTATTAGTCACTAAGTAGTTGGAAGGTCATATGATTCAAATTGTTATTATATGAAGCACAAATTGTAATTAATTCATTACAAGTCTATTCAATGAGTTGGTAAATTTTCTTTTATGATGTTCAATTGGTTTTCACCTAAACTCGGGTAAAACAAAATATATCAGTCATTATCGATTAATGTTTATAATAAATACATCCATAATATAACATCAAACTAATTACTTTAAAAAAATATTTTGCATTGCTAGAAAGTGTCAGTGAAAACAAACTCCTTGTACAAAATTTTTTGGTAGAATGGATCTATGTTGTCAGTAGAATGATGGAATTTCTCATGAATCCTCAGTTTACGCAGCACATTGAATGCTTCAGGACAAGAGTGGCAGCGGAATTTTTTTCTAGGAACCTTTTTCGTTCTCACTATCTGCGGTTTGTAGTTTCGTTTTGCCCGTCTAAGGAAAAATTTCTCATAAACTTCACTATTGAAAGTATGATTTCTCTCGTGCCTCATCAAGTATCCTATGACTTTGAATTTTTTGGAGCAGAATCGACAGCGATACTTCTTTTTCTCTTTGGCGATCAGGCGAGTTATTATTGGTGAAGTTTTTGGTTGAGGGTGGTATGCCTGTGTATAAAGTATTCCGCAGTGTTCACAGAGATGTTCGCCTGAATGATTACAAATGGATGGTTCTCCTATGCAATTCAAAGGAGTTGGAGTTGAGTCCAGACTTACTAAAAAAAAATGATGTGAGCCTTTTCAGAATGCCATCACGAAAACAGTAAAGGAATAAAATAAAGTATCTACTAATTAGGAATCCTAATAAGAGGCGTCTAATAACAAAAACAGATGAGTACCCTACAACAAATTTTTCATGAAATGAGAAACCTAATAAAACAGCTGTTTTTCGAAGAAAACATACATATTGTATTTGTAACTAACGTTACTACAGTTTTTTTCTACACAGACATTTTTAAACAAATACAATATTCGTTTGAAAATGTCCTTATAGGGCGAAACTGCAGTAACTTTAGTTACAAATACTAGTGTTAAAAAAACATAGAAAGTTTTATTTCTCATTTTTCATGATGATCTCCCACCACGTAGTAACAGAAACATACATCAATTCATCATCAATTTGATTGCAACCTGATAATTAAAAAAAAAAATCGAGAGGTTTTAAAAAGGTACTGAATATGGCAATAGTTGTTAACATCAGTTTAGCTTCAGATAATGGTTTGACTGCTGATTTTTAAGGAAGGAATTTAACATGATAAAGATGAGTAGAAAGTGTCCCAGTACTTGAAAGGTATCTATGAAGCTTCGTTGTCAATAGTGTCTGAGCTGCTTCAATTATACAAATCACTGAAAAAATTTTACTCGGCTCCCTTAGCTTTAGATGAGTTGGTTGTAAGATGAATAATCTAAATAAGGATACTTTGTGATCATTCCAATCAACAGATCAATAACTTTCAGTTATTTAGAAGCTTCACTACTACTTTATACGGTGGGTAGTATATTTTAATTTCTCATCATTATATTTGTATCATCAAACTGAATAATTATATTCGTTGATATATGATATACCCAAATTTATCTCGTTTTTGTGATATCACACAAATATTTGTTGCAAAAGACTTACAAAGATTACATTTCGGTTCCTCAGATTTTCGTAGAATTTGTTCAATTGTGGATGGAGTCAATTCATCATCAATCTTAGTTAGACCCGGAATTCCAGACGTACCACTGGGATTGTATCTTGGCAACAAAGGTGCTTTGACATTCACTGTGGGATAAACATTTTTTCTGAATCTGCACCGGGGTCCATTTCTGTCAGTATAATCGCTTACGATAAAGTGATTCGAACATATTCTTAATGAGTCAACATTGTCGGACGGTTCGAGTCCGCAAATTTTTTTCCAAATCGATCTGAGTACCGGATACTTGGGAAATCTGTAAAAAATGGGATATTTCTCTGTCAAAAATGTACATTTTATTTAGTACCTATGATAAGACCGTGATTTTGTAGAATTGCACAGGAAACACAAATTTCCGGTTCCCATTTTGGCACACTTGTAATTATTTCTTATTTCATTTGAAACAAAATAAATTAATTCAAATATTCAAAAACAACCGAATGATACCGTACCAAGATCGGTTGACATTTGAGATCTATATCAGAGACAACCAACTCTATATTCATTTGTTAATAAAACAAAGTGAAGATATGTTGACATCATGAATGACATCAGCCAAAGTCTGCGCATGCACGATATTATCTAAACCGGTCATTTTATTTTGTTTAAACAAAAATGTACGAAGCGTAAAAAGACCACAAAAATCTATAATACCATTTTTCACAATTGTACAACTGTAAATTAACAAATTCACACTTAAATCTGTGAATTTACACTTATGTAAATTATGATCAGCGTCTGTATTCAGCAAATTCCTCGCACGTACACTTTGTACTCGACCCAATAGATATCAGCAAGTTACATTTATAGCTTTGTATATAGTCTATATACAAATTTTATGGCGATTTTTTCCAGTATATGATTGTTAATGAAACAAAAACTAACCTTGACCTAACCGAAATAGGATACAACTAGTGCAACTAGAACTTGGAAAACCTATCACGTATTTCAATTAATCATTTGAATATACCTTTGGTTAGGTTACATGTTAGATTTTGTTTTTATTAACTTGACATCTATAATGCCGAGTGAAAAGTGTAGATGTGAAAAGTTGCTGACTACAGACGCTCGTTATGATATACAATTATAACGCTGAATTTGACCATTTACTGTTATAACTGAGAATTCTACCTCTATAACTGTAAATCCACAGTTATACCTGTGAATTCACTGTTAAATTTACCCACGGAATACAAAGAAACTGAAGATTTTTCTATTTTCTATCAAGGATATATGGGTACTTCCATATGTTTTCTTGATAGATTGTTTTATGCAGAGAAAGTATATAAAATATAATATTTATGGTTTTTACTGACTGCTCAAAACAAAAGTTGGAAAAGTAATTTTGAGAAGAATAGGAAACTATTAGCACTGGATGAGAAAAAAATTGACGAAAAAAAAGTAGTTTCCATAAAATACTGCAGAAAATGAGACTCCATAGTAACAAAAATTATGACTGGTTCAAGAAATATCTGAAACAGTATTGCTCCTTTTCATATAGTGGAGAAAATTGCAGAATATAATTTATACATAATATATTTTTTTGACTGTTATGAGAAAAAAAAACAAGAAATCAAAGTAATGAGTTCAACAACCGATTAACAGTATAATCATAATTATTTTATTTGTTTTGAATCATAAAACAGTAGGATTCATATTTCATCAAACTCCTATGATAGTCCGTCGTGTAAACAGAGCGGTGGTGTCGCATTGAACACTGGAACTGGGACGTTCCAACAAGTTATAGTCACTTTTCAAACATTAGTTGACATTTGACATTGACAATTTCCTACTTGACATTGTGATTAAAAGATAAATGAGTTATTTGAAAATTGGAGAATAAATAAATACCGACTTACTTTGTAACAAGGAATTCTGGTTGTAAATGCCTAGTTACAGGGTAAATTTGAATTAGAGTCATGTGGAACGTGGAACAAATATAGGAATATGTAACTAATAGTTCAAGAAATTCCCAAATACTAAATACCCTTAGATCAATGAAATAAATCACCTCTTACAATATGAAAATTGAAAAAAATGAACAGGGGCTAGAAACGATAATAAAAGAAGAAGTTGATGATATAACCAAATATGAACATGATAAAGAAGTTGAAGGGACTCATGTTGGTGTAACAATCAAAGTGGAACAAATAGAAAATGAATTGGAATCAGAACACCAGTATGAGCAAGAAGAGATTCAATTTGAACATAATAAGAAGATCTCTGTTAATATATCGGCAGAAGAACTAGAATCAGATGATGAAAACTTTAAAGAGGAGACTGTACAAGCTGTCAAAATTGAAGGAACCGAAAATAAGGGTATAGATTGTTTTGATGAGTAATACAAAAATATTAATTCAACTATTGCCAGTACTATTTTTTCTAAGGATAAAACACAAGCACTACAGTAAAATCCTCAAGGCACTCTAAGAGCGGTGCCTGTGCGAAAGTAGTGACTCACATTGGATTTGAATCACTGGAGAAAAACATTCTCAGAAAGTTAATTCTACATAAACGCAGTTCTCCAAATGAAGGAGTTTGTGAACAGTTAACGAGGTATACTGAGTTGAACCTCAAAATGATGAGCAGCCACAGTCTGTCGCATATTTCTGATATGTACTGCTCTTGGTGGAATCCAATGTGCCAAGTCTAATCTTTCCTTTAGAGATAGCGTCAGGACAATTGGAATCAAAATAAACCGAAAGATATTGAATGAAAGTTATTTTTGTGGGGAGAAAATTAAAGTTAATGATTTTTATTTTAGCCTTAGAAACTTTGAGATTGTGACTTGAAGACTTTCTCAAGGACTCAGAAAATAAATATATGTTAATATTTAAATAGTTGAAAAAATAACTCTATACTCCATAATGTTTTATGGAAACATAAATTCACACAGGACATCAATTATTTGCTTGGTATGGCATTTCATGGCCATCCACCAACTCTCCATTGTTGTGTATAAGGAGTGCCTTATTTCATAACTACCCGATGGCTTCCTGGATTTGGAATTTGATAAGCTAGATATAGTGTTGAAACTATGCCATGTTATTTAAGTGTCTATATATTGTTTCAGATACTGAAAAAAATATACCACTCACTCATAGAGATTCATATGAACAAGATGAAATCAACTGGGGAGATTATCAGTCAACATCATTCAAGTGCACATGCTCGACTCAGCCTGGAGAAGAGCCCTGCGAGTTTTGTTCCTATGGTATCAAACAAAAAAAACTGGAGCTCAAAAGAAACTATGCCTGCAGTTATTGTCCAAAAAGGTTTGTACAGAAAATGGTTCTGGTGAAGCACGAAAGAATCCATACTGGAGAGAAACCTTTCCAATGTGAAGTGTGTAAAAAAAGTTTTGCCCAGAAGGTTTCTTTGACGACTCACGAGAGAACACATACTGGCGAGAAGCCATACACTTGTGAGGTTTGTTCAAAGAGTTTTTGCCAAAAGGGAGCTTTGGTGGCGCATTCAAGAATCCATACAGGTAAGAGAAATTGAAGGTGATTATAGATATAACCCTAAAACTAAAATAAAACTCTTAGTCATTATGTAGGGAGAAAGTCATATTATTAAAGTTGGTAATTCATATTGTATAGTTGAAACGTGTTACGATTTTGTAAATTGTTTAGTGAAAATCTCACAATATAGTGGTACTTAGAAATCTTCAAGTTATTTGAACTGAACATGAAAACTCAGATACTGTTATAATTTTTTGATTCCAATGAACTTATCTTGATAAATTGATTTGGTTTCATGCAAAACAAAAACACTGAAACAGCTCTGTATCATTTCCCTGAGCACATCATAATAAGGGCTCTGAATGAAAAATTCCATAATGTCTACTATTCATACACTTTTCAATCGCTTTTGATTGCTTGACTCATAATTTAGTCATTTTTAAAACACAACTGAGGGGTTTACTCAGAATTGATGAAATCATATCTAGAGAGCAGGTTTCAAAGAGTTGAAATTCAAATAGTTCATAGTGAGACCTCAATATTTCCAAAGGGATCTATACTTAGTCCACTGCTCTTTTTAATATGGAAATAACCTGATATAGGATCTTCACCGTATCTCAGGAGTACATGTCTCTGTATATGCTTCACTGGTTGTAAAGTAACACTTTTTGAAACGACAGATTACTTAACAAAATCAATTGAATACTGAATTTCAGTAAAAGAGCCCTCAAGAAGTATATGATCTTTATACCAATGGATACATTCTAAATCTATTAAAATAACCCATTGGAAGTAGTCTCAACTTCAATAATTACGGTGCTTGGTCTCACATCATATCATAAACTTTCTTGGTGACTTCATATCGACACAATCAGTGATAAACCTTGAAAAATTCTGTGCATTAAGAATTATGACCAATCATTATGGTCATTGTGCTTGGGGTGAGACTTCTATTGTTGAAAGTCTTCATTTTGCAAATGTATATATATATATATATATATGACCAAACTGTCAAATTGAATTTAATATCTTGTGAAGGACCTAGGAGTCTGCGTTTTCACCTGTAATTTTTATATAATTTATTTGATGTTTCCAGTTATCCTATGAAAATATTTTCAAATAATTTTATACTTTTGTATAGGAAAAATATATATTATCGTTACAGGTGAGAAACCCTACCAATGCAATGTGTGTCTGAGGAGTTTTTCGAGAAAGGAACACTTAGCGACACATGAAAAAATACATTCCGGAGAGAGGCGCTACCAATGCCCTGTGTGTTTGAGGAGTTTCACTGAGAAGGGTTCACTCACGAAACATGAACGTATCCACACAGGCGAAAAACCTTATGGATGCACAATGTGTTCGAAAAGCTTTGCTCAAAGGGTGTCGCTCGTAGCACATGAAAGAACCCATACTGGGGCGAAGCCGTACCAGTGCAAGTATTGTTCAAAGAATTTCTCGCAAAAAGGAGTTTTGATAAAGCATGAAAGGACTCATACAGGTGACGTCAACATGTTATCGGTTTTATTTATTTATTTACGGCAATGCCTATTTTTTACAAGATAATTAACAAGTTCCCACATATGTATTTAACAGCTAGGTTTAAGGAAAAAACATATAAAATAAAAAAATCGTAAAAATAATGAATTACAATCTTTTCACAGTCTTTTTAAATGTTTCCAAAGAAGAATTAAAACATTCTAAATCTACATTGTATGTATTTGCAAGTCTCAAAATTCTACCTACAGATTCATTCCGGCCATAGTTGGTGCGACAAAAGGGTACTTTGAAGATTTCCAAATTTCTTGTTCTCCTTGGATTCACATTTAAAGTTCAATGGTAGCATCAATTCCGGGGAATTGATGCTACCATTGATTATTTTATGAATTAGTGTAAGGTTTGCTTCTAATCTTTTATGAGCCAAAATATTCAAGTTAAGAATGTCCAATATAATTTTATAGTCATATTCACCAATATGATATCCCAGTTTATATGCAGAGTACCTTAAAAACTTATTTTGAACACTTTCAAGCATATCAATATCCACATGATATGAAGGGCACCAAATTGTTGAATTGTATTCGATTATTGATCTAACAATTGAACAATATATGATTTTTATTGAAGTGAGAGATAACTCATTTGCAGATCTAAGAATGAAACCTAACATTTTTAAAGCTTTAGAAGTAATATTTGCAATATGGGGTTTAAATGACATTTTTGGGCCGAGAGTGATTCCTAAATCTCTGATTGTGTTTGTTGTTTTCAGTTCTGATTGATTTGATTTTGATTGATTTTAGATAAATCATACTGTAATAATTTTGTATCAGTTGAGTCATGAATAACTTTAAACATCTTCAGGTCATCAGCAAACAAAAGAAATTCACTATAAAGAATAACATCTTTCAAGTCATTGACAAATAAGTTGAAAAGCAATGGCCCTAAATGAGAACCCTGTGGTACACCCGATGAAACTGTGATTGAGGAAGATCTCAACACAAATGCAATAAAACCTAATCCATGAAATATTACCTCTTACAAATAATTTGAGAAACACACTGACCATAAAACAGTTTCTCTAATAGTAATGATTATACTTTAAACAGTGAATTTCGAGGTGTACTGAGTTGAACCTCAAAACGATGTCTGTCCTTATTTTGGACAAACAGTATATGTATGATCTTGTGCCTCAATTTGTTAAAAATACCATGTTCTTGTTTTTTGCTTAGTGTGTTTTTTGAACCGTATTGTTTATTATTCCTATTAGCTTAAATTTCTTATATTTTACACTTTATTGACTTGCTACAAATATATGTATGGGTAATGTAGTCGAATACATCTATATATCTCTAACCTTGGACCACTATTATTTGTTCTATTCATAAATGATCTCCCTTCCATTTTGAAATTTTCTGAATGTTTGCTTTTTGCCGATGATCTGAAAATATATAAACAGAGTCAAACAGTTAGGCATTGTGTTAATCTGCAAAGGGACATCGACAGTATTTATGAGTGGAGCATCACAAATAAATTGAAATTTAATATTAACAAATGTAGCATCATCACAATAACTCGTTTGAAGGATCCTGTTAATTTTGATTATATGATGGATGAGGAAGTCCTCCACAGATGTTCTGAGGTTAGAGATCTTGGGGTAACTTACAACAGTACTTAATCGTTTGCCAAACATATTCAAAATATTGTTAAATCGTCAAATCGAATGTTAGGATTCATTATTAGACAAACTCGGGATTTTACGAATAACAATACTATAAAATTATTATACTACTCACTTGTAAGACCTAAATTGGAATTTGCAAGTATATAATGGTCAAGTGAATATCGGTCCACAATCAATGCAGTGGAGAAAATACAAAATAAATTGCTCAGGTATCTATATTATAAACAGTACCGTATTAGAGCTGACTATGAAATTATCAGATCAAATCAACTTAGACATGACTTCAAAGTTCTCTCTCTTTAGAAACTAGGAGATCCCTCACCATGATGTATTTTTTGTATAATGTAATAAACAACAGGATAAATGCACCAGGAATCCTATCATTACTGAGATTCAATGTCCCTTCCCGTAGAACTCGGAGAACTTATCCATTCAATATTCCGTTGGTAGTTACAACGAACAGATCCCCTCTTGTGACCATGCTACGACTGGCCAATACATGTAGTGTGCTAGTAGATTTAGATTGGACTCTACCTCAGAGAGTATTTCGTAGAGCAATATTAGATTTTTTCTTGACTACATCTGTTTGATACGCATACAAATTTATTATATTTAGTATTTTCATCTGTGCTTGAATATTATTTTCTAATGATAAGCTAATTTACATATTATCGATTTTATTGCACAACTATATTCAATAACAGAGTATATATAGTTCATTGCTATTCAACCTCAAAGTTTTCAAGTAGGTACACAACTGACTCTCACGATTTATAATTATTGAAATGTGAAGATTATTTTATATTCATTATCCATGTAATTAGACCTTTGGTCTGTTTGGATACAAATAAATAAATAAATCTATTTACAGGTGAGAAGCCTTACCAGTGCCGGGTGTGCCTCAAGACCTTCACAAGAAAGGACCATCTGGTAGGTCACGAACTAGGCCACACAGGCGAGAAGCCTTTTCCCTGCAAGATATGCCCCAGCAGCTTCACTAAACGGTGCGACCTAGAGAGGCATGTGATAATCCATAGCGGCATGAAACCCTATAAGTGTGATCTGTGTTCAGCGAGTTACTCGAGAAAGGACAGTTTGACACAGCACGAGAGGACGCATACTGGGGAGAAACCTTTTGAATGCAAGACGTGTCCCAAAAAGTTTTCCAGTAGAACTAATTTGACAAAGCACGAACGGGTGCACACAGGGGAAAAGCCCTACGAGTGCAAGGTTTGTTTCAGACGATTCACTCAGCAAAGTAATTTGATTTGTCATAGGAAAACTCATATTGTTAATCACAGTTCCGCATTCAAAGTGGAGGTCGAGGATGTGGTGAAAACGGAACCTAGTGAATAAAATTGTCGGCACAGTTATTAGATAATTGCTCTCTTAATTCATTTTTCCAAACTGGTATATGAATCAAGTATGTACTCTCATCTGTGGAGAACAGTGAAGAAAAAATTATGTAATTTAAATATTGGAAACGATTGATTCGTTTGTATAAATAAAAATGATAGTTATGAATAGAATGCTTGTTGACGTGTTTCAATTTCAAATAAAATAACTGATATTTTGAAAAAAAAATTCAAAATTCAGTACATTGACTGTTACAGGATACCACATATCACAAGGAAAATTTTATATGAATTTTTCAACAGAAGGAATCCTCTGAATTTCGAAAGTGTTTTGGATAATTTACTCCTCATCAGTACAACAAATAGCTTTTGATCCTTCTGATTTTCTGGTGTCCCATTCAAGTCCTTTATCTTAGCACATATTAATAATAACAGTAACGGCTCGTGCATTGGAGAACAGGGGAGGCTAAAGTCATAAAGACTATATACTCACAGAAAAGCCCGCCGGAGGCGCGAAATTTTTTATGTTGTTGCATGCTTTGCTTAATACTAAAGTTGTGGCATGGGCATGACAATGCGTAAAAAGTGCATGAGGAGCTATGGACTTTCATCAATTTTCCATGCAAAAAAAGAAACACTTTCAATCTCCTTGCTTATATTTTCCCTATAAGCTCATTTGGATGGTTTTTGAGATGCCCGAAAAAACGCTACCGTTTAAAAATGTGCCCAATTGTGAATCATATTTGCCCCATAACATTAAAAGTTCCTTGTAATTGCCGCGATTAATCGAATCTTCGGTTTCATTGTGTCCACGAAAAGCTAATTCTTGGGAACCCAAATAAATGGTAATATCGATAAGTCTTTCTAAATTCGATCGATTTTCCCTAACCTGATTATTAAACGAAATTATGGCCTCTTTTGAGCTGTATCTAAAGCTGTTGTTACATTTTGTTTGCTAAACAATTTTAATTTACAAGACGAAAATATATGCTCCTTACATTTAAAATGTCTTTCTGTAGAACGAGGTAATTTTTTTAAATCGGAGTATCCTATTTTAGACCACGTTTGGTATTCGGATAACCAATCGCATTTATCGTCGATTGTCCTCGATTTTGTCGATTACCTGACGCTTTAATTGAAATAAAATTTGGTTGAGGCCTTTCCAGAGTTTTAATAATGGAAAATTTATTATAATAAGATAAAGACATAAAATTATTTGTCAGCAACCAATCGACTATATCGTGAGATTTTTCAGTTTTGTCCAACTTATCCATAATAAACGAAAAAAAAAACTTACCGAAAAGTGAAAACCTGAAAACACCTTGAAATTGAAAGAAAACACTTTGAAAACACATTAAAAATATTACCAAAAAGCACTGCTATAATACAATACTGCCTGTTTTATATACAAATAACAAATATTATCAAAAAACACTAAAACGATTTACCGAAATATTTTTCAGTCCCGGTCCGTTACGGCAACTCGTCCGAATAATTAAATAAAAAACAAACGCAGTCGTACACTAACGGAGACCAACTGGAGGCTAGCCTCCTCTAACGCTATAATTTCTGCAACTGAAATTACAAATCGAGACGTATGTCGCTGGTTGGATCGGTCTCGTAGAGCCTGTGTTTTTTAAAGTGGTCGGAGGCTTGGCTTCCTTGCAACATATGGCATTCATTATTTCGGGTTGATGGTTTATTCGTTCATGGGCGGTGCGTTTGAGTTTTGTTGATGCAGGATACAGTGTGGTACGTACTACGTAGTGAGTGATAGTGTTTTTTCGGGCATATTATGTATTTATATTAAAAATTAATGGTGAAGTAATGATAATCAAGCATTTTTAGAAAAAAAATAATCATAATTATTTGTCAATATCTTTGTATTTATTACGATGAATAGCCTCAAATTTTATGGGAAGGCTAAGCCTCCCTTGCCTCCTCTGACGAGCCGCCGCTGAATAATAATAATTCTTCATTTCCATAAGGACAATATGAAGTTGTATAGGAAACAATCAAGACAATATAAAATGATACTAGAAACATGATACTAAAAGTTAATTATAAAAATTATTACAGAAACCAAACTACACCTGAAAGACATTCATTTTTGCAGATTGTTGTCTCCATTTCTCTTTGTGCTAAAATTCGAAAAGTGTCTTATTTGCCTTAATAACATTTAATGAATAACTTCTCTTCACTTTTCCAAGTGAAAGGCGTTTCGGGGGTAGCAACAGCTAAAAAATTCATCCAGTCATCAATAAAAAACAAAGCCCTAGGTCGAATCCAGCCACAGCTATTTTCCCCAATAGTAATGTGATACTGATCTCTGTCCCACCTGAAATTCAACGAGACAAAAGTATGGGTCACCCAGACGTATATCATCACGGAACAAGGTGAATTTGGAAGTCCAACTTCGATTCGTGGGTACAAACTCAATTCATCTGAATGGTGAAAACGGTTGAAATGTATTTGAAAATGGTAAAGTTTTCCTCTATACAAACACAGCGGTACAGGACACTGTTGATTTTGTTGATGAGGACAATGAATTTCGTGATTGGATATTTGATGCCATGGAAATGATGCTCCGCAATTCCAAACACAAGTATACAAAAGGAAATTGTCGTAAATGATAGTCCCAAATAATTTTTCACTGTGAAAAAATTTCATGTCGAATTTTTTAGTTTCATAGTATTTCTCACAAAGCCAACACAAAACTTGGTAAGTATTTGAAGTGATTTCTAGATAATTCTGCCTCAGAGGAGTTGGGAATGAACAGTTGTAACAAAATGGAACGATTTCATTCTTTTTCTTTCCAATAGTTTGCAAGAGACTTAAAGAATTCCATTTCAATTCAACATTGTAATTAAATTTCAGCATAGTGAAGCCAAATGAAATTTTTCTTTTTCTCCTTGTATAATTTTCCAGCCACTGATTCAAGTAGTCTCTCTTGTCATGATTTTTCGCAAGTTTTGAATTAGATTTCAGTTTTTGACCATTTATAAATTCTACAATTACAGGACAACTCAGCTGAAATTCAACAAAGATAAATTCACTTTCTAATATAGATGTTATTGATGCAATACTCATGGACTGAATTGAACGATATGATGAGCACTTCTGATTCCTTATATCCATGTTATCAATACCGTTGCTCCTTCTATGAATAATAAACTCAACCTTAGTTGACTCGGCCTGTTGGTGATTTCCAACAAAGAATACTTCCAAATCCACATCTTCTGAAGTAATTTGACATTCAACGAAGAAAAGATTGTCCCCGTTTTGATATAAGTGTACCTGTCTGGATGTAGTTAAATCCACTTTGAAACAAGGTTTTTCTAAAAAACAACCCCGATGTTTCTCTTTGAAGTGTCCGATCATCAGAAAAGTTGGGATGTTTGTAGCCTCCACACAAATAGGGCACTCATAAGTAGTGCTTTTACAGGTGTCTTCGTGTTCAGCAACTTTGTCAAAAGCAAGGAGTTGCTTACATCCATCGAATCTATTCACGCACTTAAATAATCCCCGTTCAAGTATCAAGCCACATTTGGAAATTACACCATAATCGTTGTCTTTGACACACCGTCCGCACTTGAATTTTCTATTTCGGTAAACTTTAACAGGACCAATCGATAAAAACTTGAGACACTGGCTGCAGGTTATCGTTTCTAACATTTCATCAGGAATTAAAAACATCATTTTAAATTTTCGATATTTTTCTAGCGATCTTCCAAACACCAATACGTTTTTATCATCAATCTACTGATAGTGGAACGATAGACACGGAATATATATAACTTATCTTATCTTACTATGCGTATCACTATGTAATAACGAGGATTATTCGGCATACCAATGTGAAACCCAGGAGTGGTAATATGTCGAAGATTTTGGCTGGCGCTAAATTTAAACAGTATATATTTTTAGCTGTTCGAGCTTCCGCTTATGTTTATTAGCTTTATCGAGGGCTGTAATATAAAAAGGACATAATAAGTTTGATGAACTGTTTTCTCGGGTTTCGCTCCGTGTTCTGTGTATTTTATCCTCATAAGGATTATTTTCACAACGTTCCGGAATTGCATTAACGTGGAATAAACTTTCTGAGAAAGTCTCTTTTCTTCAAATGGATTTGTCTCCAACAATTCAAATCCAATGTGAATCGCTACTTTCGCGAAGGCACCGCTATTAGGGTGCTTTGAGGATTTTTCTGTACTACTTATGTTTTGTTCTTAAAAAAAATGTAGATAGAGCTTATGACTAGTTGGAATTAATTTGGTTGTTCAGGTGCCCCTGATTCATTTGGTTACATTTTCTGAAAAGGTTCAATATACATACGCAGATCCATGTAACTGATTTCGTTTATTTAATGAAAACAATAAAATTATTATCCGATTGTCTTCAACATTATCAAGACGTTTCAGCAAGATCCTACTTGTCATATTCATGTGTAGCTGAACTTGAAACAGCTACCAAACAGACCACATGAATATGGCGAGTGGGATCTTGCCGAAACATCATGATAATGTCAATGACGAACGGATGTACAGCCGTGATGACAATTCAGCATGTAATACCATCTGTACAGCATATATTCACATTTTCTATTTCATTCAAAATACCTGATATAAACGCTATTCATACAATTTTTGGGTAAGAGATTTATGGCCCCTAGAAATTAATAAATAGAAAACTATCAAAGATGAAAAGTCACATTTACGAATGAGCCAGAATAAGAACTGGATAACTTTGTATCTACTTTTTCAGAGGAACTGAATAAAAAACATATGCATATCATCTCACACAATTTCTACTGAGAACATTTATTGCCAAACAAATGGAATGTCTTTCTTTCTTGTGTTTGTAATATTGTTGTTACTGAAATACAGATTTGGTTCATAATAAAAAGAGATTCAAATCACTTAAAACCTGATTAACAGGCAAGACCCAGATTAAGAAACTGACCCATGCTAAAGCATAGTAACTGAATGAAAAATGGAATGTATACACTCTTATACATGCTCTGATTGGGCATATTTTCACAGGTTCCGGAGATAAAGCATAGTAAAAACACAGTATTTATTCTTATTTTTACATTTTTTTGCTTGAAAAGTAGAACTGGAACATCTGACATACAGCTGCCGGACTGAGTCATTGCCGGTGAGAAGCCCCTCCCTCAAGATGTGCAGTAGATGTGTTATCTCTGTTGTCAGTCTGTTAGATTATTCGAGCCGTAAACATCCAAATTCAGGACCGTATTCAATTAGTGATGGCGTTTAAAAGTAAATTGCATAAACATATTGTTATTCACCTACCCAAACTTTATGCATATATGATTTCTCCCACCGGTCACGACTCAGTCCGGTAGCTGTAGTATAAATCCAAAAACAAGGACAAGATGAAGTAGACTGGCCTACTTCATCTCCTTTCTCGACACGTGTTTCGCTAACTTGGTTGACGTCTTCACGAGATAAAACTGTTCTACTTCATCCCATGAAGACACCAATTTGGTTGGTGAAGTGCGCTTCGAGAAATGTTGCAGCTCTGGTGTTTGTGAACAGTGCTTGTTTTGTTTTTGTTTTTACTCATTTGATTACAAATCATTTTTTGCATGGAGCTGCTGTGAGGTAATCAACTATTTAGTTGTACAGTAAAATAATGAAAATAGTGACAAACTCGTCCTATCGATATAATACTTCGCACAAATCTTCTGCAATAACTCTTAGTCATAAGTTTGTGTGCTTCTTTAGCGACATTTCAATTGCCAGTTTTCCAGCAAGTACTCCATGTTTTTCCATTTTGTTCCAAATAGTTGCCATGAGAAGACAGAATGTGATCAAGACAACGATCAAAGCCCTAAGGACACTAAAGACAACAAAGAAACCTTCGGGGGCATCGAATATGAGAGAAACCAACAAGACAATAAACAAGATGATAGCAAAAGTAAAGTACACTATTTTGTGGGTAATTAGTTTATTCAGGGCGTGGTCCACTACGTTGAGGCAGTCTTTCAGAACACTCTTGAGATTCTCTTGATCCCTGAAAAAAAAAAACAAATCACTTTGAATAAATATATCACCCAATAACGAACAATTTTAATTTTTTTGAGTGATGAAATTCGAGCATAATTCATCTCTTTGCAATTCATTATAAATTACTAAACCAGCATCCTTCAGAGACCTATACAAAATTGAATATTTTGTTTGTGGTTTGCTGGAGTTACCTACATATCCCGCAATATACACATCCAGAGTAGATATTCTTTATCTGTTTCTCATTTAGGACCTCTTAAAATTTGTTTTCAATAGTTTTGAGGATCGAGAATTTGTTTTCTAATAGAGTACTGCAACGAAAGTTTGTTACCCAATAACCATAAATTTCCCTTTGATAGTTTGGAAACCACCTAAGAAAATAAGCTTTTTGTCGCAATACAAAAAGTAGTTGAAAACTATGAACTCAGTTTATCAAATATATCACTACACTTTCCCTGTAAAAACATGTTGAAAAGAAAAAAGGTTATATTTATGTCAGCGTGCCTCAGGGTTCCTTCCTTGGACCATAAACATTCCTTGTTTATGTAAAAGATATTGTCGTTAATTTCCCAGACGTATTAATTTCTATTTTTGCTGATGAGTACCTAGCATAATTATTAGTAGACACTCAATTAATTAAATAACTCGTTACTGAGAGGGGTATATTTTTAGAAGAGATCATTTTTCTTTCGTGTAATTCAATGTTTATATGAAAGTAGCTGTTTCGAGAGGGGTTTTTCTTCCAGTTTGTGTCTGAAAGTTACTATTTTGCATGATTTTACATATCTTTGTAAAGAGATTATTTTAAAATCAATTGCTTTCTTCCTTTCTTTGGAAGATTCCCACATTTTTTTTTGTATAATGATGAAGCGTAAAGCCAAGACCCTTCTTTTCCAAAAATTAATTCTCCTAAAAATATACCCCTTTCAATTCAAATTAGATATATAATTTATTATTTACTCAATGTCTGAAACTATATAAATGTTTTTGTAATTGACCTCTGCTACTATTTTTTCTCACTAATGTCTATGTGTATTGTGGAAATAATTAGGAACGACTTACAGCAACAACTGCAGTTGCTGAGATTACGAGTTATAATCTTCGTTCTCGCACATACCACTGACGATACTTGCGGCAGTATAGGATATTCACGTTAAGAAGAGAATGACGTCACAAGATGACAAATTTCGGCGTTGCCAACATGTGCACTGTTTTAAACTTAAAATTTTTTTTGTAATGTTGATTTGTTTCATTGCTATTAACCTTACTATTAACTCAATTAGTTGAACTACGAATTTGTTGAGACTGTTTCGACAATGCTTTAGGCATATTGTCTTATCAAAAGATATGATTAGCTCTCAAAAGAAAAGAAAGACTGACAGTTTTTGATTTTTTTTCGATTTGAAAACGTCTGAAATTTTACTATCAGTTGAGCAACTTACAAAATGAAATTTTACTAGTTTCATTGCTATTGAACGCATTTCATTGGGAATTTTAACGTTGTTATGTTGGATATACAAAATTACCAAAAATGACGTCATTCTCTTCTTAACGTGAATTATCCTATAGTAGACTAAGAGCTTGATTTCATTTGATCATGGCCTACCAGCCTGGATTTCATTCTCTCTAACTACTCATTAAAAATCATTAATATATAAACATCGGAAAAACATAGATTTCTATGAGGCTCCGATGAAATTCTACATTTGATAAGTAACTTGTTCAATGTTTTGTCACCTAGAAAAGCTCTCCATAGTTTTTTGACTGATCTCTAGAGTTGCTTCTATTGCTTCATGATCAGAATAACTGCAAGACTGATGAGGCACCCGGTCAGGTAAAGGAACTTTATAACTCTTCAAGTCCACCTGTAACCTTGAGCCGGGATGGTACATGATGTAGTCTATTCTTTGGCCAGGATTTTTCCTACCCGAACATCGAGGAGTGTAGCTGTTTTTAGGATTTGCAAAGGTTGCACCCTGTTCTTCTTGGATATCAAAACTTTCAAATGAGTCCACAAGACCAGGTACTGCCAGCATTACTCTGAAAAATATTTTAATGAATGAGCAGAAATAACTAACCCAGGACTGCTATTCTTGCCTGTACGCAAGGTCTCCTGGTTCGGTGTTCAAATCTCCAGCTAAAACCGTTAAATCGGCACTCTGAGAAGTGAGCATAATAAATTGAGCAGTATCGTACGCCTGTAAGATACGATGAGCTTCATATTCATCACTGTTTCGGTTATATTCCGCATGTAGCTAAAAATGAATTATTTTAAAAGCTATTGTAAATTTTTATCGATCCTTTTTTAGTTATTTTCTCCTTCCATAATCTGAGAAAGACATGAAAATTGTAATGGAGAACTTTATACAAGTGTACAAAGGGCAAACTTTTTAGTTTATCCCGAATTGTTACTGCATACATTCAAAGTATTTTTCACCAAGAGAAATATTCTATTCATCAATAACTTGTATTCAATAATTTTGCCTATAAAGGGCATATATGCCCCAATATAATACTAATATTTATTTCTCATGTTGAATTTTATACTATTTTTCAAAATAGTATTTTTCGTGAAGGAGGATAAAAATAGTATTCTGCTACGAAAGATTCATAAATATATAAATATGTCTTTGATATACCAACCTCTATATGGTTCAAGTCATATCTAGAAAATCGAAAACAGTTTGCAAAAACTACATCATCCAAATTGAATGATATAGTGTTTATTGAAGGTTGGTTCCCATTCTGTACTTAATGTATATAAATGACATAACCATAACCTGTCAATGTCTGGAAATTAAACTTCCTTCACAGATTATACAACACTGTTTTGACACAATTAGGATCATGAATCACTCAAATGGAAAATCAATACTGATCTAATGAAAGTCAAGAATTGGATGCAAATCTCTTGACACTTTGCATTAAAATTACAAAGGCAAACGTTTTCCCTTTCAAATGCGAACTGTCTCGACATATTACTAGAGAAAGATCTTGTGGTAAAAAAAATAGTTTATTAAGAACTGACATTGACAATACTTCAAAATTTGATTACCACATTATAATGTTGAGTAAAAAAACAACATTTGTGTGTTTTGCTGTAAAATGACTGTTGGGTAGAGTCCCACCTGTGATAAAGAATAGAATTTTGGGACTCATGTAACAAAACCTTTTTCGTAGAATTTTAATAATCTATTTTCAATTTGTCACACAGTGAATCGAAATAAGAATTCCATGTGATAGTACAATTTATAGTGAAACCAAGCATTTTTGTATACAACTTTAAGATCACTATTTCTGCATTTACAGACTTTTCCTTAGTTTTTACTTTTTGGCAGATAGAGACATCTCATTGCCCAAAGTTGGAAAACAAGACAGCTCAGTAGTACTAAAACCTCTAGCATATAATAAATCCATAAATACAGTTTCCAAACACCAGAACTGCATCACTCTTCTCGACAAGAGTTGGTGAAACGTGCGTCTAGAAGAGTGTTGCACTTCTGATGTTTGGAAATACTACTTGTTTCAGATGGCCAATAATAATTCAAGCAAAAGTAAAAAAATAGAGAATGAAGATTGAGGCAACATTGTTTTAGCATATGTGTAGATTTAAAGGAAACTTTGTAATTTGTGTTTTTCACCACTTTTGTATAAACAGATCATTTCATATAGAACTCACATGAGCAGTATAGACATTTATTCTGAAATTGTTTACTTTCATTGTGCACAATCCTACTCCTTTACCTCCGAACCAGTCCCCATGATGCAACTTGTGAATGTAACCATTTAGAGACCATTGGTGAAAAAATGTTTCCTCAAATCGATGTCTAGATAAAATACATACTCCTGAGCCAGTTACTCCGCTAAAAAAAAAGACCAGTGAAGGAATGTATTTATAATAGCCAATGTCTACCTGTAAAAATAATGTGAATAGGGAAATACTCCAACTACTTTGTCCCTAATTAAAAAAAAGTCTCTGTCTGTCCAAACTTCCTGAAGACAGACTACATCATAGTGACTAGTTGCTAGATATTCGGCTATAGCTTGCATCCGTTTTTTTCTATCTTTGGAAACCACTGCTATGCCCCTAGGAATAAACCGATATCAGTTCAAATTAAAGACCTAAAGCAACTTTGATTAACCCACTAACCAACAATTCAGTGTGAACACTTTAAATTCGAGACTCATTTTAAAAACTTGTATTGTACAAAAATTGTAAAAATTATTTCGTATGCTATGTCTAGATATTATATCGCATGAGTATGTCCAACTTCAACATAATCATAAATTTTTAATTCTGATTATTATTATCAGATTGTTTCATTATGACCAATTGCATAAATATTTACTGTTTCGGTGTTGCCAAGAAGATACTTTAATGTCATAGTGAATGCGTCTATCATAGTTCAACTGAAGATTTCAGCTCAAAAACAGGAACAAAATGTAAAAGTTTTGAATGTAACTATAAAAAAGAAATTCATTGTATAAAGTGTGTGCATGTATTGCGTTGGAAAAATTTGAAGAATTTCTAGGACATAAGCTGATTTTGATAATACAACAGAAATAATTAATTGAAACCCCTAGCTTGAAATAAATCTATTGAAAACACAAAGTTTCTTTAGTTTTATAAATGACACATGTTGATCGATCAACTCTTTTTCCCGTTACAGGAGATTATATCATATGAAATCGTGCAAGAATTTTTTAATGTGACTGTATAATCTTCTTGATTGTATTCATTCATATAACTGACTATTCCAATACATGTTCATGTCTTATGAAAAATAAATATTATTATTATTATTAGAATATCTGTAATATACGTTTTATAATTATTGATTGTTGAAAATGTAGAGAGATTATTATGTTTTTTACATTTCATGTTCTTAAAACACATTTCTCCAAAGTAAAAGATAATCTTTAGTGAAAATTCCGAAAATTGAAAGTGAAAAGTGAAGTTTCGGGAATGTTGTTGGTTGTAGACAATTTTCTGAACTATTTATTCTTTATCGTTTGTAATCTAAATTTTCAATGTACTAAACAAAATCTTTGAAAAATCATTTTGATTTTAAATTTACACTGGAAAAACATGACCTTCGTTTAATTTGGGCGTGTTCCTGAATTCAAGAAAAAACTCCGAATTGACCAATAGACAAATTCAATAAACCAATGAATTTAAGAACACATCGTTTTTTAGAAATCAGTGCACTTACTCTCTTTGTCTTTTTTATTGTCGTTGAAAAAAGAGAGCAAATACTTGAATTTGACCGTGACAGATTCGTTAAGTTGTATAGGTTATGTTCAATACTAAATGTCAGCCGGTTTGATTTCTTCAAAACTTTTTTGAAAAAGTAAAAAATAAAATTCAGTTTGTACAGACTCAGTGTAACGTGAACTTGATTTTCGGTAAGAACTTCCCAAAATTTAATTTCACGGTGTAAGTTAGATTCCTTTTTTTCTGTTCTAGAAAAAAATGAACTCGCTAACAATACCTCCATCTCCAAATTGGTACGAAACATCGATATTGGCTTGCTCGCTAGACAACACTGTAATCTATGGATCAAAAAATGATCTTGTGATAATAAAAAAAACTAATATTGATGTGCCAAATCAAGTTAAAATAATTCCAAGGGCGCATTCGGAAAAGTGAGTTGAAATAATCAGTTATATGCTGTCAATTAATGTCATACAAATTCAAGGGTACACACACATCTTTTTTTGTAAATATCACTACAAAAAAGTGATCAGAATTGAAACTTTCCATTTGTTACTGGTAAAAACTTACCTTTCATGCACATATATATTTTGAGTAGCCCTCAATTCATAATAATATTCTTTGCATTTATGGGTTTTTACTTTACTGGAATCAAAAAACTTTTTATGATAAACTAAATAAGAAAGGTAAATGATAAATTTGCTCAGTAAAGATACTGCCTTCGCTTTGGAGCAGAAAGGACATATAACATTTTGAATTTACCTTGAAATTAGTGAAATATGTAATTTTCATCAACTTATTGTTTGAATACCTACAATACATTTTCTTACTCCAGCATATTTATATGCTTAAACTGTTGGTCTAGGACTTCAGTACCAATTTTGAAATAATTTTTTTCCATAAATTCATAAAATATTTGCCTGTTTTGTTGATAAATTTCTGTTATCTGCCAAAAATTACTATTTTTGCCAAAACAGAGTAGTTAGAAATTTCAAATATATCATTCATGAGATTATGCTGATTGTACTACATTGCAGGAATCCTATTTCAACTTCTGTAGTTTTTATTTCATTTTTTAAATTTAATGTCTTGCTGCTGAGAAGTCATTTGACTTGTCCATTTCTTCAAAGTCTCTGGAAAATACTGCGATCTCGTGGGTTTATTGCGTTTTTGTCCCACCTTTTTGTGACACCATCCATCATTTGATTCATTATATGAGATGAGATTTTTTGTGAATGTAGTTGGACATTTTCTAGATATTTTACTACTACAGTTTTAATAGTATAATAATAAACCTCAAATTTTTTTTTGTAACAATGATAATACACATTTCATTCAGAAGGATGTTGAGGGAAATTTTTAGTAGGCCATTGAAAATTCCATTTTCATTTATGATATATTGATATTTGTTTACAATGCACCCAATTCACCATTTGATGGTATTCGTTTAAATGTCTTATCAAATTGATACGAATACACTAGTATCATCTAAGATTGCAATTGAGAAAAAAACAATACAATAAACAAAATGATCATCATTTATCAGCCTCTCTCCAACAATACAGTACTACTAATCTGGTTATTTTTCCAGAATAGTTTCAGTAGGGGTAAATAAAAACTGGGGACAACCATGCAAGTTTGCAGTTACCGCCTCAGAAGACAAAATTGTGAAAGTATGGAATATAAACACTATGAGAAAATACTCTTCTCACAGCAAGCATGTAAGTCAGATTTCAAGTAATGTGACATCTTTAAAAAATGTTGATTTTCAGCTCAATCACGGTAGGATTATTGGAGCAACCTTTTCTGGAGACGAAAAAGTCATCAGTGTGTCTGAAGATGGTGTAATTGTTGTATGGAATCTATCGGTGAATGTGACTACTGTTCTCCAGGATTTACTGGGAGTCAGATCGAATGTCACTTGTATTTCGAGTTGCCCCCATGCAAGTTGGTTGCTGGCAGTGGGTTTGAAGAATGGATTGGTTATTATTGTGGATGTTAGAAGTAAGATATTTTTTTTTATTGGATATTTCTTAAAAAATCCTTTATTTTCATAAACTTGAATGTTCGAGCATTGGTGCTAACTTTGTAATTTTAGGCAGTTTTCTCACAAAAATCATTTAAATAATCTACGTAATTGGTAAAATATGATGAGCTAACCCTGTTGCATTGGTCTCCGTTTTACAGCCCTATTTTGTTGTTCAGATGTCCTCTTACTGGACATGTGCAGTGAGTAGCCCTGTTATTATTCTGAGCTGATCCTGTGATGGAGCAGTTTCTTAGTTGAGTTTCAATTCATATTCCACTTGTGAAAGCCCACCTCTTCCAAGAAAAATTTCCAATATCTTTCCTACTTAACAGCCTGGACCTTTAATGCTTTTCTCTTCAATGAAAACTATTTCATGAAATTTTCTAATTGATTTGGCCGTTATAAAGCAATTTCCTTACTAAGAGTTAACTAGCTCTGGCAGATATTTTTTTTATGAGTATATTTTGGAATACATTATAAAGACTTTGAAGTTATATGTATCTGTCTACTAAATTATTTCCATCTGTTATACAAATCTCACTTTTTTGTGATTGCTATTGCAGTCTGAAGAAATTGTGAGGCCTGTAATTCTGGATTTTACCATCTTAGGTTATTAGGGAATCCTGGATATTAATAAATGTTTAAGAATTTAGAAAAAAGTGATGTCTGTTTAATAAACATTACATCATTTTAGGAAATGGACGAGTATTGTATAAATTGCGTGGTCATGAAAAGATGGTGTTATCTCTATCCTGGTGTCCCGTTCCTTTCAACATCTTCCCTAAAAATCCAATGAATAACATTGCCTACATGGATAAAAAGGAATTACCCAAAACTGAACTTCACAAAGCAGAAGTAGAAAAACAAAAATTGGAAGATTCATCAACAACATCAATCAATTATGAAGAAGCTAGTTCTAGTGATCAACTTCAAAGTAGTAACCTTCCTGGTGCAGCAGATAACTCAGCATCGACGGAAGATCTTGAAGGGAGTTCCGAGGTGGCCTCAAGGACTACTGAAATTACTCTGGTGACTTTATCTTCGAGAGATGTCAGCGCAGAATTAGAAGAAGCGACAGGGGATGGGAGCCTTCTGAATCTAACTAAAGAAGAAGGTGATGGAGACGAAAGACAAGCTGCTATGGCAGATCCTGAAGAACACACGGCTGGCGGTCCGGACGATTGTCTAGTTTGTAGTACACCAAAAAAAGCTACAACTGTTCCAGCAATCACTGTCGATCCAGTAACTTCTAGCGGAGAGATGGACAAAAAAGTTGAATCGCATATGGTAGTTTCTCCCGAAGGAACTGACCCTCAAAATCCAAATATTCAAGAAGAAGTTTTTCGTTATGAATCAACAGAATCGCATGGCAGAGAGGAGGAACAAATTCGGAGAGAATTTCTGTTAGCTTCATCTGCAAAAGAAGGGTGAGTGTGACATAACTTGGTTTTCACAAGTCATTCTTGTGTATTTTCTTTTGTACCTAATGATGGGTAAGTTCTGTCCATCTTCTTTTTATCACCCTTATTTTCAATTCAGAGCGTTCCTCACTGAGGTTTATTTATTTATTTATTTTATGTATATGTAATCTACAGAAAATTTCCATTAATTGATTACAATTTTAACTGTAATTGAATTTAGTGAGCTACAAAATTAATTAATATAAACAATGATATTAATAGTATAAGTTTCTAAGAGTGAATATTATCATTATAATTACCATCATGCTTGAAAAGATTCTCAATACAATTTTATATTCGGAAATATCTCCTTGATTCAAGTGAGATTTTCAATAAACAGTTAACAAAACTGCAACACATGTTTAGCTATACAACAACTTTCTAAGGCCTGTTCATAATAAATAAATTTTTAATTAGTGCTTTATATAATCTAACAGTTTGAATCATATGTTCTTCTACCTATTTGATGACTAATCATTTTATTACAGTACAGGAATAATCGAATTAAAAATTTAAACAATAGAAAACAGATTTTCTAAACCCATTTGAATGGACATGTGATAAATGAAAATTATCTGTGATTACATATCAACTAATTACCAATTTTCACATCAGAAAAAAGATTTAATAAAGTTGAAGTATTCAGGTCTACTTGGCCATTCAGTGAATTATCCAAATTCTTAAATCTCTTGTTTTTCGAGAGGTGGAGTTTCAACCCTTTCTCTATCAAATGTAATGCATCATAGTCACAATTAAACACATGCCCCACTGACACATTTAAGAAACTACTCCTATGCTTTTTTAATCTCTGGAAAAAGGTTCTTTTGTTTGGTTAAAATAAAGTCTCTGGCAAGAACTATAAGTCTTCCATATGACATTCCAACAAACCAACTGTATTCAATTACAAAAACATTTTCTTTAGAAGAACATTTCGTAATAGACAGACTCAAAATTGCTTGTTTAGTGACCAATAAAAAAAATCTGATTGTGAATGCTACAAAATTGAAAGATTCCTTGGTTTGTATAAATTCACTTTATCTTATTGCTATGTTCATCGTGTTTTCAAAAGTCTTTTTATAGAATAACTTCAATAACTGGCGATATTCTTCAGTCAGAATATCATTAGACCACGAGAGAGTTGGGTCAATATATAATCCCAAAAACTCAATATAATTGCTATATTTCATTTTCATTACTAATAATTCACTTTCAATCAACGGGTTTGTCATTAAAGAACCATTAGTAATGAAAATAAATGAACACTTTTATACATTTATCGTTAATTTATGCAGCTAGCCTCACCTAATTTTTTCAATACTTTTAGTCCAAACTGATATTGAGTTTATGTAAACTGATCCTTGTAAGACATCACAAGAACGTTTACTTTATATAATTCTCACTGTATTCCATATACATGAACTGTTTTTTTTTTTGAGGAAGTCTCTCAAATAATTTTTTCCTGTCATTTTTCAGCAAGTCGAGGCACATGTCAATTATTCATAACGAACACAGTCCAAGGCTGTTTTGCATAGCTGGTCCAATGGAAACGTATGATGAAAGCAACTGGTTAGATTGCCAAGGATTGAACGCTTGGACTGTGGGTCAAGAACGGATGTTACTGAATACGGAGCTGTCCACCAATAAAACGAGGTTAGCTTGCTATCCCACCCTGGCAGGCACAGTGCCTTGCATGGAGCTTTCACCTTTAGATCCAAATAGGTAAATATTATTTTTTTATCAACAGAAATATAGGTGAACTAGTAAAACCAAGTGAAAGCAAGATTTTAAAGTGTTTTGTTCATTCTACGATTTATATTAAAAACGTTATTACTTCAAAGTTGACGTTCATATTTTCAAAATAACCTGAAATAGATGCTCATCTCTAATATTCACTCTTTGTTCTTTTATTTTGCAGGAATGTTTATGGTCTTTATGTTATAATTTAACAGATGTAATCGGGAAATACACTTTTTTTTCTGAGTGATTTTCCAAGGATTTAATAATACAAATGCACAATTAAAACAAATATAAATTTCTAGTTCAAGTGAATCTCCAAACTCGCTAGCCGAATATGTGCAGGTGTGAAATGAGGTTAAAAGACAAATTAACGCTGAATGTGACCTTCATAAATCAATCCTAATTTTTTTTCATTGATTAATTCTTCAATTTTTCACTCAGGTGGAAACACCTCACCCTTGCCTCTCATGTGATACCCGACGGAAAAACAACAAGTAATCCACCTAATAATAATAATAATAATATTTATTCAGTTGACGGATGACATTGAGTATGTCAAAACGTGTACAAATACAAAATTAAAAATACAAACTCCGTGCACTTAGAGGCACAATATACAATTTACATAGATAATATAATATATAATAGTCAAAACCTAAAATAATGTAAAAGTATCGTTATTAAAATCTTCCTAAAATGTTACACATGTACATGGTCATAAGTTATCATCCATATATTCTTTGAGAGAATAATAGGATTTATCCAGGAGCAACTCTTTGATTTGATAGTTATACTGTTTTTAGAGCCAGATTTTTTATTGTACTTGGAAGTTTATTGTACATTTCAATGGCCATAAGGCTGGGACATGATTCAGATACAACTAATCTGTGTGTTGGCACTTCCAACTGTAGGGAATTTCTAGTATTATAATTCTTATTACCATAAGAGTAGGAAAACTGTTATATGCAATTTTACATATTTTAATATCTCATAAATGTATATTTGTAACAGTCAATATTCTGAGATTTTGGAAGATGAGTTTGCAACTTGTCCTTCTAGTAACTCCTGCTATATACATTATGGTTCTTTTTTGAATTTTGAGTATTTTGGAACAATCACTAGATGCTCCCCAAGTTATAATACCATAGGAAATGTTACAATGAAAGTATGCATGGTAATACTAATAAGTATTGTCTGAGAACAACTTTTGGGTTCTTTTTATTTCATCAGATGGTTTACTAACTGTGGCTTTATTACTTTCCTGAGTTATCAATAAAGATGTGTCATCAGCATACATAATGAACTGAGCACTATAAAAATCATTTACATATATATAAGAGTGGACCTAATATAGAACCCTGAGGAACCCCGAGGGAACAATTTTTTGATTCTAATTTATTTCTGCTAACCCCTACATAGTAGTATCTACCCTCTAAGTAACTTCTGAACCATTTGTGGGTTATTACCCTGATACCATACATTTCAAGTTTTGTTAGGAGAATTTTGTGATCTACCAGATCAAATGCCTCACTTAAGTCTATGCCGCGCAGAAAGCTGAGGTAAAACTATCAGGTGCCTGTGCAACATTTTCCTGCCTCAGTTTTCTGTGTGGCATCAGCTAGGTTAGTTGTTTTCCTGTCAGGTAGCTGCCACACGTACCTACAAAATCGTAGGTTCACATGAGAGGCAAGGTTAGCATTTTCACCTAAACTTGAATATGTCATATGCACCTCTCTGGAAGATATTAAATTATTATTCTGACTCCCACCCAGGAGTATGGGTTTGTAGAGTTGTTTCCGGATTTTGTCTGCAGGAGGTGCAGTGGTACATCCCACTAAATCAACTGCAGATAGAGCGTATGACTAGTTGGAATTGATTTTGTTTGTTCGGGACCGTTAGTTAGGGAAGCTATAGATTATATTGAGACGACCCCTCGATATAGAAGGCCCCGACACTCTGTGTCGAGTGAGACCCTCATATCCTCCGTTAATGGATGAACAATCTTTTCACCCACCCACCCCAGCCATGTAGGGGTACACCTTGAAGGACGGTACGGATGTATGAGGACCTTCATACCGTCAACCCCAAAATCAATTGTGCATCATTTGTCCTTCTGACAAACCCATTTCATAAGGGTAAGGAAACCAGACTTCAACCTATTTGAAATCAATATGATCAATCGGTGTTTTTTCGGTTTAGCTACTCTGTCTGAAATGACCCTCCCTGTATTGACAAGGAGCTAGTACTCCAAAACCTATCCATTTTTTCATAATTAACTACGTTCAAATTCGCTTTTCTACAGAATAATTGAAAAGTGCAAATTGTTCATTCGAAATCTAGATGTGAACTTCTTTAGCATTGAAATACTGGGACTGATTTCTTCATTGAAGCCCCATATTGCACATTCTAGCTGATAATTGACTCTTTATAATTATCAGTTTTAGGTCATTATGAGTTCTTTAGATTGTACTGAGTTTTTAGACTTACCTCTACATTAGTTACCTCTCTGAGGTATTTGTAAAGATGGCTTAAATAAATAAATAAATAACTTCTCAGAAGATATTTCCCTGATTATGATCAAATTTGGTACTTTCAATAGCATCAATACAGTAATTGAGTTGTACCATTTTAATACACCTAAAATCTTTTATGTGTAACTGTTGAGCAACATACCAATTGTCACTATATTCTTAGGTTAGCGATGGGTACAGGAGACGGTATCGTTAGGATTTGGGATTTGAGTCGTCCCCACATAAAAAATATCACTATGACTTCTTTTCACCAGAAGATTCAAAGTAAGGTTACCGCTCTGGCCTGGCATCCTAAGAAAGAAATGACGTTGGCCTTTGGAACTGTAGAGGGCAGGGTGAGTCACATTTATCCAACTTTTTTTTTCAATAAATAAAGTATGGAAATGGTTGAATATGGCTTCTTTGTAAACCCTGTTCCAGATTGGATATTTGGATACAGGCAGCAAATCAAAAATACCTACGATTTTACCACATTTCTTCAACGCCCACATATACAAGATGGAATGGGCTCCGGTGAGCAAAAAGAATGAGTTTGGTTTGTATGCTATTGCCGATGGAAGTATAGCTTTGTACGATATAACCAAATCAGAAGAAGGTATGATTATAAAATAGCATTCACAAAATACCTTTCAAGATGTTTTTCTGTCCTTTTATAAGGTCCTTTGGAAGTCGATAAACCTGATAACGTCTTCATCTATTCGTTTTCCTGGAAAAAGGACTATTCGATGATGGTAGCTGCGACCAAATTTGGAGTCGTTTTGGTGTATTCACCTGACCTGAAGATTCTGTCTAAGCACTATTGTCAGGAAAGGGTTTGCGAGATCGTTTGGCATCCTAATGCTACGCAACCATACTTAAAACAAGGTAAGTAAATAAAGTAAATTCAGGGATGTATAATGTGCCATCAAAGTGAACTAATAGTAACAAATATGTTTTAAATGGACCATAAACGATTCAACATCTATCGATATAGAAGAAAATTTACACCATTCACCAGTAATATGGTATTAAAAAACTTAATGTAATCTCCACGAGATTGTAAGCTCAGATATAAAAAAATAAAAAACTGTGTGATTCCAATCTGCCCTCATTTAATGTTTCCAAAACAAACTTAATAATATCTTTCTGCTGCTTTATTGAAAGCATACCATTAACAACAAATGACGCAGACAAGGTGATTGAAAACAGACCTAGTTTTGAATTTTTGGGGGTAATTAATAACTCACAATAAACTCAAATTCGCCAATTATTTTGTAACTCTCAATAAAAAGCTAGCTTCAGGGTGTTTTGTAGTGAGAATAACTTATAAGGAAATTGGTTTGTCTGTCGTTAAATCGGCTTATTTCTTCCTTCCTTCTGAAGAGAAAACAATCAGCAACTGAATTGCTGAATGTTTTCATTGTACAGAAACGAGCTATAAGATTCATGTGCAATACCAAAAGTCGACACTCCTGCAAACCCTTGTTTGAAATACATAAAAACTTGACCGTCTTTGGAATTTTCATTATAGAAACAGCCTATTTGACTAACAAACATAATCAATCAATCAATACTTTATTGTCATAAAGAACAAGGAATTCTTGTGGACAAAGTTCTTATATAAATAAAACACCAAATGCTAAAAGGTACAATTTGTCAGTCAACATATAATATAAAAATTCTTAACAATAAGAGAAAAAATAAGTAAATAAAATAAAAAATAATTAGATTGAAAGCTATCCGCATAAAATTCTTCCAAAATATGATACGGGCGACTACACAGTAAGAAGTAAACAGCCTTTTTAAAATTATCTAATGTGTTAATTTCTCTTATAAAATCAGGTAAGTGATTGAACATCTTGCAATCATTATAAATAATAGAGTCCTTCACTAAAGTAGAGTTCGGCTTGGGTAAGTTAATACTGTTTTGTTTGCGTGTAGGATAGCGGTTAGCCATATTGAATGTATTCAAACTGTCTCCGCTATGAATATGGCAACAACAGTATGTAGTTTATGCAATACAAAAAGTGGTTTGCATGGATCACGCGCCTTTGCTTTCGAAATGTATCTAATTGCTCTTTTTTACGTAATCAGGATGCTTTTCATGACATTATTGCATACTCCCCAAAATGGGGAGCCGTATCTGAGATGGGATTCAATTACTGCATGGTATACTATTTTTGCAGCAGAGGATCCCAATTTCTGCGATATCATTTTTACAGCAAAACAGCCAGAGGCCAGTTTTTTATTTAAATTCATTGCATGCTCTTCAAATCTGATGTTAAGCGGTTACTCCAATAATTATGCCCTTCTTCAAACTGTTGACTCAAGATTACCCATACCAGCTTCTACTCTAGTCAAAGGCTTCTTATATTATAATGGTCTCAGATGTTTAATCACAGATGATTTGAATTTCGTGAGAATCTGTGATTTGCCCATGAGAGTTAGCTGCTACCTCAAACCCTCTAACTAATCAGTATTTGTATATCAATCTCTTTTGTTAGAGAAACATTCACTATTTCCAAATTGACAACAATTTTCTGATTTCACAGAATAATTGTGACCTTTTTTTTGACTAAATGATCATTAGTAGGTTATTAAAACTTGATTCATTTTTTTGTGATTCATAAGATTATTATTTTATTGTAGCTAACTGGTTTGCAAGCATAACAAATTCCAAGAAAGTCATAGTGTACCGTTTCGACATCGAAAATGAAAAGGAAGTGATTCAAATTGTTGCTAAATACGAGGGATTTGGAGATTTGATCAATTCTATTTGTTGGAGCCCATATCGTGGCAACCAGCTGTTGATTGCTGGTGATAGCGGAGCAGCCCAGGTTAGCATATTTATGTTAATTATTTATTTGATTATTTGTTCATTGTTTATCCTGCATACATTATAAGTATGGTTCAATTACATATACACGGTCCTACGAGTACATCTTTAAGGTTTTTCTTTTCCCAGTTTAGGCTTTCTATTTGGATTTGATACAATGCACATTAATTGCACTGGGTGCAATAACAAATAACTGTATCTCCTTCCTAACCCTTTTTTTTTCAGATATGGGATGTAGAAAGAAATGTAATTCTCTCGACTTTCACGAATTCTGTTTTTGAGGGAATAACGAGCGCAATCTTCAGTCCCGCTGACCAAGACTATGCTATTTGCAGTGCTAAAAACAGCACTGTGGAGATATATAAGATTTCAGAGTACCCACGAAAAGATCCAAAAGGTGAATTGTTAACAAACAAACTATACTAGACAAGAAAGAATTAGATATGTTTATTTCTATTTTAGAATTTTCAAGAGAAAAGCAAATTGTCTTGAGAGCATTCGAGCCGGTTTCGGGATCCTCTGCAAGCGCAGAACTTTACGAAGAAATGCACAAGGAAAAGAAAATTACCAAGAGCGTTATCCTTCCCATATTCAATACTTCAAGATCATCGTCTCACGTCGTCTCCGATATCAGGAGATTAATGAAATGGAAAGAAAATCCTGAAAGTGTTGAACCTAGTGCTGAAGATCGCCGCCATCCTGACATTTTGGATGTTTTCGGGGCGAGTAAGGAAGATATGTTTAAGGTGATCAGTATGAATGGTTAGTAAACGATTTTTTTTTGTGAGTATTTTTAATATATGAAGTTTACAATAAATGTACATCATTGATCACTCTCATATTTCATTGTCATCTGTCACTATTGAGTAGCTGATGTATATTTTGTTAAAGTTGAGATTCATGATTTTTCTTCAAATTTAGTCACCTTAAGTAATTTATATTTTGCTGTGGGAGCATTCTTCTAGAATTTCGAGAAAAAAAATTAGGAGAGCAAAGAAGTGTATATGAGGTAGGTCAGAGAGGTCTAAGTTATTGTGAGCAGTTGACGACAGGTCAGGTTAAATCACCTGTAACTTCTTTTATTACGAATACTTCTAGACAGAAAAACTCATTTTATGATTTTTGAAAATAAAAGGACTGTTCTAGATTTTTAGATTTCTAGATTTTTATGATGAGTATTTCTGTGTATTTACTAAAATACTTTTCATGCTCTGGGGAACAAGACTTGCAAATATATCACTCAGACATATACATATTTGGTGCAACATTACAATCTTCTGAAAAGCAATTGTTTATATTAGAAATGGTGTAGCATAATACAGCAATACCGCTAGTATGAATCTGTTTAATTTGTATAGATATCTTTTAGTTTCAGTTTATTTTAGAACAATTCAAATTGTGAAAAAGAGGTTCCGTAATAAGATCTGTTTCTGTTTAAAATCTGTTTTTTTCGTTAACCAGCTGTCGCATCCCTACGAACGACAACCCTCAGAAGTCGAAACTTGTGCGAGCTAAGGACTAACGAGGTCTTACCTTTTAACGTGTGATTCCTAACACGGGTTGGACGATAGCAAGTGAAAATCGATCGTTCAGCTTGGGGCTTGAACCACCGACCAACACGGCGATCGATTTGAGTGAGCGAACAAAGCACCCACGTCGAACTGACCGGACCACAGTCTCCAACAGAGAGACAATACAAGCTATTCGCCGTCGTTTCCCATGAAGGCAAAAATGCCAACATTGGACACTACGTGACCGATGCCTTCCACGTCGGCTACAATTGCTGGATTAGGTACGACGATTCTTCGGTCAAGACCGTGCAAAATGAAGACGTATTGAAACCCCAGGGAACGCGAGTTCCTTATTTGCTGTTCTACAGGAAAAACGATATTTTCCTATCTAAATAAGGTTGCGTAGAGTTACGTAGAGTTCAGCGTCTGGAATCTTACGGAATTTCTCGTTAAAATTTCTATTGAAATTGATAATTTTTTTGGTTTTAATGAATTATTTTATTCTTTCATTAGTAATAGGTATTGTTCAATTTTTAATGTTATATGTATTTTTGATTTCGTTGGAACTAATAGTCACTTAGATGCTATTTTATACACAATCTTTACTTTATGTACTGCAATTACTGTCTTTATATCTGTCTCCCAGTTAGTGTTTTTATTCTTATTTTCTGTATTTTTATGTACTACTACACTTCTTTAATTGCTCTTGATTTTACCAAACACAAATTGTATTTATTTCCAGAAAACATCCATAAGTCGAAGGGTAAATTCTTCAACAACACAGTTCTTTCGTTGTTCAAAGGAGACATAAGCACTTCCATAAAAGAGGCCATTGAGGAGAAGAGAGTGACTCCTTATATACTTTCCCTTGCACCGATGGTGTCACCAAAGTAAGCAATCGATTGACACATTCCCAACTTGATTGTTGTTTAAAACGACATAAGAATCATGTGGATATTAAAATTATGATGACTCTTTCACTTCATTCAAGTTTTTTCAGAAAATATTGGTTATCATTTTTATTTTATTGGAAATTTCAGAATAAAGTATAACTTTTTTTGAAAAAAAAGTCTTTTTTGCTGTCCACTTCTGGAAGTTTCCCACATCTTTTGTTCAACGATGGAGAAATAGAAAGTCAAAAAGTTTTTTTCAAAATACTAATCTCTCCTGAAAATATTCCCTCTTCAGAATAATCCGTTTCATTCATTGAAAAATGCTAAAGTATTTTGATCAATATTCGTTAATCTGTGAACAGAAATAATAGTGAATCTGATTTTGATCTTTCTATTTCAGATTGTGGCAAACTGCCTGCGAAACGCTTGCAAATCAACTGCTCGAAGACACAGAACCGAATTATCTAGAAATTTGCACATATTTTTTGGCTTGCCACAAGGTAGACAAGGCGATCAACTGTTTATGTGATGCTTTCATGTTCCGCGAGGCTTTAGCCCTAGCCAAGTGTCGACTAACAGAAAACGACGAAATCATCACAGAGATAATAGAGAAGTGGGCGAAGAATGCCATGCACACCGGAAATTATGAATGTGCAGCTCAGTGGTAAGTTTGTTTGAATGTGGTTATAATGAAAATGAAATGAAAATAAATAGTTAGGTAAAAAAGGAAATGAGATTGAAAATGATGTTTTTGGATGAAAGAGGTCAGGTTTAAAAAAAATTACAAAAAATCAATTCGACTTTTCAACCCTTTGCTAGGACAATTAAATTATAATAGTACAATAATAAGAACTTATTATAAAATTAGGTTATATAATTACTGTGTGTGTGTGTGTGTGTGTGTGTGTGTGTGTGTGTGTATACACATATAGAAAACTTATGAACACATCAGGTCAATTATTTGCATAAAAACTTTCGTTAAAAATATGTTTAATTCAACTTTTCCATATGAGTGAAGTCTGTAAATTCGTAGAGGTATTAGGTCTAATAAAATAAAGAGATTGAGATGCCATTTTTATATGTAGCTATTTCATTAAAGTAGATAATGTTGAAGAAACCTCCATTTTTGTCACAATATGATATATAAAGTCAATTTCACTTCATTGGGGAATTATTTTTGTTGAATTATTATCGTTAAGCTACCATATCATGATTAACTTTGACCCATTTCATTATTTTCAGTTACATATACCTCGGAAAATACGAAGACGCTGCTTCAGTCCTCTTCCGTAGGTCAGACCTTGACATCATAGAACTCGCAGTAGAGTTGGCCGAGAAATCTGATAATGAAGAGCTGCTTAAAGCTGTGCTCATGAGGTATGAATCCTTCAAAAATATGCGCAGAGATGAGAGAGAAGCAGCACTACCGACGAGAAGTGAACTATATCTACAGAAACAGAGAGAAAGTGCGATGGCAGGATCTTCGGGCTCCTCAAAGAAGCCCAAAGAGAAGAGAAAAGCTGCCTCTGGGAAAACAGACGAAAGAGCCGCCACGGAAACCGAAGACTCACGCAAAGCTGTAACTGAGACAGAGAGCTCCAAAAACGCTGAAACCAAAGAAAATAATTCAAAGACAGCTGTCTCAGTGAAGGACAACTCCGAAGATGTCGCTAAGGTAGTCACAGAAACAGACGATTCCATCAAGGCTGTTACAGAAGCAGAAACCTCCAAGGATGCTGAAACAAATGCAGAGAACTCGGAAGGAGTTGTCACAAAAACTGACAGTTCGGATGGAGTCACTGAAGTAAATAACTCTGAAGGTACTGTTGAAAAGGCAGAAGACTCCAAAGTTGCTGAAACAAACACAGATAATTCCGAAGGAGCTGCGCCAAAGAAAGAGAAGTCCGACAGCACGAATACCAATACGGAGAACTTGGATGATGCTAATACGAAGACAAACCCCTCCAATAGCACTGTAGAGGGTGTTTCTGAAGAACAACTAGCCAGTGGCGACTGTTGTACCAAAACCTCGGCTGAAGAACCTCCAAGTAGTGAAGGAGCTTAGGGCAATACACCTTGAAAAAAAAAAGAGAAACTACAGTCGTTTTACGTTGAAATTTTGTTGAAACCCTTCGCAGCTTTAAAAGCATTGTGATGAAATATTTTTTGTTTAGTTAGTCGTAAAGTCATTTTTGTTCCATTTTGTTAACTTTTGAAGTTTGAATATATTTTTCTATTTTTTCAACTATCTCATTCATTTCTTACCTAAACAATAGCATATTTTTTTAACCTATAAACGGACTCCTTTATTTACGTTCTATGACAATAAATTACATTATATGAACTACAAATTACACTTTATGGAAAAACACCTGTCTGTTTTAGTAAGTTATTATTCTAGTAAAAAAATAAGTATCCCACATACCTATATTCTTTCAACATTTTCTATATCACATTGCTCCCTCTAGCAGGTCTTATCGCAGTCTGAAACTAACCCTTCTAAAATATGTATGATGAATGTCTTTTATATACTGTGAGTCGAAGAAAATGAAACATTCTTCTACATATATATTGAGGTTGATTTCAAAGAAGATAATTTAAAAATATACCCAATTGCCTTGAGTCAGCAGACTTGCATATTGTGTCTAGGAAGCTGTGATCACTGAAAAAAACTTTTGTTTAGCACTCATGATCTATGTAGAAATCACAAATCAGTACTTTTGCTTGTAACTACTGATATAATATTTATTAACCAATATTAATACACATGGTATATGTGTATTAATATTGGTTAGGTCAGTAGATAAATTATATAAAAACAAAAATGTGGAAAATAGTTCAAATGAACAATACATACAGGGAACATAGTCGAAAATATGTGAATGTATGATTATACTCAAAAACAAACTTGAACCTGAATATTACTGGAGTTTTTCCCAATACCAAACCGTTATTTTAACAACTTGATATGTGTTTCGATCACCAAGTGATCATCTTCAAGAGGAAGATCTTCCCATGCGATATCAAGTTAAATACTTTTTGTCTCTAATATCGTACCATTACACAGAATCCACATATTTCTTTCACTCCATTCATAATATAATCCAATTTTTGGGAAAGAAAGTTTTTGGCTTTCTACTACTCCATCTTGATACAAAAAACAAGGATAAGGGATTCTTCTAAGAAAAGGAAGGAAGTAATCAATTTTAAAATAAGTAACTCTATGCATGGATGTGTAGATCATATAAAGAAGTAACTTTCAGACACAAACTGAAAGAAAGTCCTCCTGAAACAGCTACTTTCATATAAACATTAGAAGATTCCCTCATCCTTGTTTTTTGTATCAAGATGGAGTAGTAGAAAGCCAAAAACTTTCCCAAAAATTAATCACTCCTAAAAATATAACCCCTTCAATTCAAATAATGTTGATACGAAGAAAGACCCAAAAGTTATGAGGGCAACCTGAACCGTTTTACAACAAGGTATTTCAGTTACGTAGATAATTTTGTAATTCATATTTTAATGTGTATCTTATTACTACCATATACTAATGTGAAAATGTAGTTCTTTGGGATGAAGAAAACAAACAAACTACTTAAAAGTGTTTATTGATACACAGGTTATATTTTCTCCAAACAATAAATACTATAATAATAAATCTGGAATGTGTACCAGATCTAGAAAACGCTATAAACATACATACAAAAATATCTAGGATTTTAATAACTAGGAATTGGAGTTGAGAAATGAAAACGACTATCTTTACAGGAAAAAAAAAGTATTCAAAAATCATCCGGTCTGTATTTACAAAATGATGGAATATTGGCTATTATTTATTGATGATTTTGTAAAACAGCGTGAGATCCAGTGAAGATTTCCATATAAAATGCTTTACAGTTCTCAAGTCCATGGTCGGATCGAGTACCTAAAATGAATAAAAAACTGAATAACCATAGCGTCAAACTTCTTTTGCAGAATCGAAATTGGTATATCACCAGACACTTGATAGATAATTTTTATTCTTCCATGAATAAACCATACAAACAAAAAGCTATTGTGGAAAAAATCTTCACTGCAATCAAAATCTATAATACATAAAAAAACAATTTTGTTTCTAATTTCAAAATAGAAATGAAAAAATTTACGCATCTGTTGAGGATAGTAAGTAATGAAATGTTTTTTGCGATTGCATTCATAATACCAGATTCAACTGTTTTGTTAATAGTGAGTAACATATTAATATACTGTTAGTATATTATTCACTACAAAGAAGCTACTGGGTATTCACTTCATTTTTTTATATTCTTCCTAAATCTGTTTATATACTTTATACCTATTTCTTAATTTCCTTGACAATTTTCATAACTGGATTATAAGCTTTTTTGAAGGCCAATCAATTTACGAACATATCAAAAGTATCACTCACCTGTTCGTTGCAAGTCAACTCAATCTGGTCTACATTGTAACCATTATTAGAAGGTGTAGTGGAATCTGCATCACCACATCCTGGCGAGCTTGCTGAACCATCCCCCAAAAGCTTCTCTAAAATATGTTCGGCTACTTTTCGACATTGTATGAAGTCGTTGGCAACAAGCCGGTCAGGCTAAAATAATACAGTTATAGTCAATCAAATTGAACCTCCCATTCTTCTTGATAGTCAAGCACCAAAATCTCAACGAACACGGAAAATTTCAGTTGAGAACAATTATGGATTAGTATTTCAATATAAAAGCATAGGCTTTCACAGCCACGATTAAAGGGTACAGAATCCACATATACCACCGGAGTAGCAGATGAAAAGTTTGGTTTGTTTTCCTTGAAAGTATTTCTTTCCCATTATTTTTGTATGAATTCAAACTGAGTTATTTATTTATTTCATTGTCCCTGTGAAATGATACCATACAATTTTTAAAAAATATGAAAAGATAGATAGTTACTAGAAAATAAATACTTCGAAATATTCATCTCTCCTAACTACCTACACTGTAGGTTCCGATAAATACCTGCCGGAAAAAACAACTACTTCCCCCACTAATACCACGCTGGACATCGAATATCATCTGCGAGACCAACCTCAGTGAGGTTTCTTGTCGGATATAATTCAATTTCTCAAATTGGTTTATTTTTGTTATCAGACAATATTACCTGTTCTCTTCTAGAAAATCCATTTCTAATCATTAAAAACCCTACCTTTTTCAGTCTATCCTGCTTGAGCAGATGTGAAGGAACGCTGGAATGTGGCTGTAGGTAAAATTGTACTTTGATGAATTTGTTTGTACAATTCTCCTCGATGTTTGAAATCACCCAGTTGGGTACAGTTTCGTTGAGGAGAGCGTTTTCAGTATCGCCAGCAGTATCGCCAACCAGAACCCTGTATAACGTTCGACCTCCAACTTCACTAAAAAATAATAAATGTTTTCGAGAAAAATATCTGGTCGAGGTAGGAATTGAACCCACGGTCTTCCGATCGTGAGTCGGGCGCACTACCACCTAATACTAATATTAAAATAATGGAGGAGGGCAAGTAATTGAAACAAAATAGTTGAGCAATAACTAACATTGGCAATAACTTATCACTCCTCTTTGAGGAAGTTTTTGTTTAGCAGAACACGTGGCAGTTTTTGAAAGTGTTTTATAGTGAAAATCTTACACTAAACTGTATTATCAAGCGGTAAAATAGTTCAAAGAGGAAGTTTACCTTAGAATAAGCGGTATGTGCTTGGGCACACTGAAGTATAGCCTATTTTCTGGATCAGTCTCTACCCCTCTCCAATGCTCGAACAACGCTTGCAGCAAGAGTTTGCCATAGTTGACCTTGTGATCTGGTTCCGGGGTGTCTCTTATCCCGGCATCTCTGGCAGACACCCATGCCGAAAAACAATCAACTTCATCTTGGCCCAAGTGAATCGTCAACATCTAGAAAAACCCAAAATTCCTTTTTTTGCAACAGTTATGAAATGAATGGGAATTTATCATAAAAAATATGGAAAATACTGATTTCAGTAGAGTGGTAGTAAATACACTCAGTTGATATTTGATTTTCAACATTTTCTATGATGGTTCTGGAAATTTGGAAGATTCATTTCTTGTTTATATTGAGAAAATTAGAATTCAATCATCACAAAAAGTGCATAAAGAGTTAAGAGATAGATTATTGAACTTGAAAATAATAATAAACATGTAATATAGTTTGAGGGACATACTTTGATTTTCTGAACATTTTCCGATTTTCATAACATTATCATGTAATGATTTGTTTACTAAGATAGTAATGTTGGCAAGAGTTTGGTGGAATGGATATTAACTAATGATAACGAATATGAAATACCTTGTGATTATCTTAACTCCGTTTACCTTGAAGAAATAAATTCCTCTGAAGTTGAAAACACAATAAGTTTAAGCTTCTTATTGTGCTTAAAAATATGGTAAACAGATTCTGGTTTCCGTTTCATTAGTTTATCTCGTTAATAACATTTTTAAATCAAGATTATATCCCAGTTCATTAAAAATTGTTTTGATGAAACCAATTAATAAAAGTGATATTTCTTCATCATTATACTATGCGTTTGCATATATCCATATATCAAATGATATTGCAACATGGGGACTGGCTATTATTGAATGTAAAAGAGTTTTTACTTCTAAAAAAGAATGATTAGACTATTTGGAATACAGGAAGTCATGTAGGACTGTCTTCAAACAATACATTTCAAAATGTGTAATTTTCTTGAAAAGCAACATTTCTAACTTCAACGTGTTCNTCTTTAAAATGCTTCTCAGTAGGTAGTTTCCAACATCTGATGTTAGAATCTGACGTAGATACCTGAAAAAAAGTTATGGGCATCAGTTATTTTGAATACAACTTTTTATTTTTATTAGTGTTTGATCTACATTTTCCAAATAGCTACATCATTATGGACTTGCTGGAAACTATCTGAAACTGTCTGCTTTACAGAACGTAGACAACTTGTTAAAACCAATAGTTCTTAAATTACAAAGAACGTTAAAGCAGGAGTGCCCCAAGGATCGCTCTTAGGACTCATACTTTTTTTTTTAGTTTATGTAAATGACCTGGCTACTGTGCGTATTTTTGGTAGTTTCATCATTTTTTGCAGATGATACCACACTTTTGAGGCATAATGAAAAAAAAACAGAATTTATACAAAAGCATATGTAATGATCTCAGAGAAATTAAACAATGGTGTGATGCAAATCTGCTGTCATTCATTCTTGGGAATTAATATCTATGAATGCCCGAAATTTGAGGAGCATATAGGCATTAAAAATGAATAACTTTCCTCCGGGTGTTTGGCACTCAGAATAGTATCTAAAAAACTAGGATTTCACGCAGCAATAAATGTTTATTATGCCCTCATAGACTCTCACCTAAGGTATGGCATAGCATTTTCGGATCCATGCAGTAAAAAGTTGTTTTATATTAAAATAGATAAATTGGAAACACATTATTATTTGGAAAAAAATGGTTTCAATAGTTTACTGAATAATTCAAAAATTCTTCAAGAAGTTGAAAATATTTGAAATCATCTCGCCATAACAAATGTATAAGTATCTGGAGTCTTATGTTATTTTCGATTCTTCACGATTTGGTTTTCACACAGGTAAAAAAACGGAAATGGCAGTTCTTGACCTTGAAAACACTGACGTGTTTGAATTCAAAGATGGGGGCTTTGCAGGAATTATTTTCTCCAACCTTAATAAAGCATTTGATTGCAACATTCTTCATACCAATCTACAACACTATGGTTTCGATTCTTCAAGTTCAACTTTTTTAAAATCCTACCTAAATATCTGAATTCAGAGTGTCTATTATAACAATACATTTTCTGAAGCAGGTGCTGTCACCGTGGGTGCCACAGGGCTCGATAATGGGGCCTCTCTTTTCATTAACAAATGAAATACGACATTCTTAATAATGATAACATATTTTTGGCAATAAAGCAATTATTTTTGTGTCATACATATGTCAAAAGAAAAAACCATACGCCAAATTCACAAAGTGATGAACCTTGTAAATAAATTGATGATGGCTTAGAAAAAAAATTAAAAAATTTTTACTTACCCACACTGCTTGCTGATCAGCCGTGAAACACATTTTCAAAATTGGAGCCTCTTCAACACAGACCACAATACTGTTTGAGGTATTCTTCAAATCAGTCATTATAACCTGAAAAAAACAAGATTATTCTGGATTGTAAAAACATTCAGTTATTCCATTTTTCAATAACAATAACTTCTGGTCCTTAAGATTCCTCTTTTGAGGAGAAATTTTAACGAATTTACTTGAGAATAATAGCCCTATTTGTGATAAATAATTGAAAAAAAATTTAAGAAATGGAAAACTGAGTGAAGACTTGATATCCTAATTTGATTTTCTTGTCTAACTGTAACAAAAGATGTTACAAATATGACTGAATATTAAATTTATTATTGTTTTCAGTTTTTTCATGTATATCTCTCTTTCACTTATGATGTGGAGACCTTTTTGTGAATGAAATAGATATGGCCGAACATATTTACCTTTTTATCTCGGCCACCAGATATTACGTGACTAAAGGTGTCAGTTGCCAAAAGAGCCCAGACAGAATCAGTATGTACACGAATTGTTTGGACATTTCTGCAAAAATAATGCTCAGTTAATTGAATCTAAAAAATCTCATTCATTAGTTTATTATAAATCAATGAACTAATAGCATTTAGAGTATATTTAGGTACTATGTCTTTTATTGATTATTTGTTTCCCTATATTTCAAAAATGAAAAATAGTATTGTTTATTTATACAGTTTCAGAAACAGAAAATAACATACTGTTGCAAAATGTCGTTAATATAAATTAACAGAATATACGACAAACAATATAAATGAAATTTACATTGACAAGTTAAAATAGAGGCTCATTCTATTTAACAAAGTGATCCACCTTAGATAATAATGATAATTTTTATTGACTATTTTCAGTACCTAATGTACATATGGTGAGCAATAATTGTAATACATGTTATATACATATAAAGAATAAAAACAATAGTTAGTCATACTTGAATAAAAATTAAAGAATAAATATAAAACATAAATATAAAAACATAAATCATAGCACATAATAAACACCTCTCTAATTTTATACATAGAATATCTGGGGAAACAGTGTCAAATGCCATTGACAGATCAAAAAATGTACTAATTACAAAATTATTGGCATCAATTTCGGAGATATTGAGATAATCGGAGATATGAGATAATCATAGGCAGCTTTTCTAAATTCTGTTTACACTTTTATATCCTATGTATACTTAAGGAATTTTATAAAACAATACCTTTGAGTTCCCAGGTTCCATAACTTGATAGAACCATCACTGCTACCTGAAAGGCATTGAGTCCCATCTCTTGATACAACTAAAGCTTTTACATTATCTGCGTGACCTGCAAAAAACATCATGTACTCAATTTAGTATTCAAATCACTGTTGATAAAGCTACTCTGTTAGCGAAACATGTCCTGATGTATTTTTCAAATAAAGTTTGTGGAGATCAAATCGTGAGGGGTATTTTATGAAATCAAATACCAAGTGTTTTGATTATGCATGTATTGTATCAATATTTGAAGTATTCCTCATTATTTGTCAATTGGTTTTTTGATCATCATGAATTATCAATAAACTCAAACCTCACAAGATTCAAATATTAATTCACTTATTGTTTACTTTAAATTCACTAATTTGAGAAATATTGTAACTAAATCATTATTTTTACTAGATCTCCAGTTGAATTTATATCAAGTGAAGGTGAAGGACTTTGATTATATATTTCAGTTCTAGTTCCAAAATAAATAATATTCATATTTACCTTTCAATTTGAACAGTTTGGCACAAGTTCTCGGGTCCCAAAGCCTTAAAGCCTTTTCGGTGGATCCACTTACAATTATATTCCCATACGGATTCATAGCAAGGCTATAAATTGATTCCTTGCTACCCATTAAACTTGAAGCTGAAAAACATCACTGTTATACAATTTGTTGAAATAATAATTGTTAGATAATTATTTATTCAAAAACATTTTTACAGAGCATAAAAGGCAAGTGGTTGTATTTCAGAATACAATACGAAAAATTTAGAATCTACAGCATTTACCGTTATCAATAAGCTTCACGTAGCTTCAGTTGGACCGGTTCAGTGAAACTGATGAAGCGACCATGTAGCGAAACGATTTTTATAACTGGCATAGGGGTGCTTTACAACTCAGATTATTTCAGATGAATGGACCTCTACAGACCACATGGGTCTGTAATTTTTAAAAAGTGGCCTTATTCTTGAATGAAAGTTGTTATGTTGAGGGGAAAATGGTTTTTTCTAAATGAAATATTGAATATTGTAGTAAGTGGGGCAGCTAGGAAGTAGGCACAATCTTTTATTATGAAGCAAGAAACATTATCATGACATTCATAGTTCGTAATATCCGGGAAGTCTGAGGTATCTCTGTTCAAGTTAACAAAAACAGAAATGGTTGGCCTTTCTTTATGTGTTGATTTAATGGATTGACAATAGATCTTCTATCACAGTTGGACCTATTGCTATTATTATTATTATATGACAAATAAAAAACAATGCTAATCTGAGAATATTACTTGTTACAGTGTTGTTGCTAGCTGTCAGGGCTGTTAATGTATTGATATCCCATAAATAAATAGATTTATCCAGTCCAGCAGATGCCACTTGTTCTCGATCCTTAGCATAAGCCAAAGCCTTAACATAGTCTTTGTGAGTACGTAATGTGGACATACAGAACCCTTTATGAGCATTCCAAACCTTCACCGTTGTATCCGAACTGGCAGAAATTACTGAAATTGAATATATTATGAAAATTTTCAATTGACAACCTATGATTAATAATACGAACAGTGTCTTCCCCCGCAGCATAAAACAATATCATTAACCCAATCCGTATGGTGTTCCATTCCATGTAGAAAGCGTTCATGTTCATATACTCTGATTATAGAATCTCGGCCCGCTGAATAGAGCCTATCGAGTGCAGGGTCTAACTGCAAGGCGTTTACTCCAGATCTGTGCCTTTTTTCTGATTCCTCACATATCACCATCGACACCTAGAAGTTGGGAATTTTGGGTAGCGTTTTCAATGGAAGCTTCAAATAATTCATTACCTGAACTTTTTTGCGAGTATTTTGACTTCCAGGTTTCAAGTTCGCCATTATAGTCACGGATACTGGAAAATTAGGAAATTGGCGTCATAACTAAACCCTAAAGATTTTTCAACAATCGTCGAGTGTGACTTGTTAATATCTCTTTTTGTTTTGTTATTCACTTGTTTCAAAAGGTTATGTATATTTGTATATTTTATCTTGATATATCTGTCGACCGTCATACAAAAAACTTCTGATTAGAGAAAACAGTCTCGTTTCTTGATTACATGTCACATTACTACCATTGCTTACTAACTGTGTTACTACGTTTAGTAGCTACTTTTGGATATTTGTTATGAGACTGAAAAGGAGTAGGAATGGAATGGCTTTTGAACATTTAAGTTTCATAAGGGTCAATAAATGAACGACGAGCGGTAATATATTTACTGTAAAAATAATAAACTGAGATTATATTTCAGTTGAACTGTTTTTAAATATAAATATAATATATGCTTGTGGTTACACTTTCTCAGTACTTATTCGAAATATCAGACTAATTTTTTGTATGATGTCAGCTTCATTTTCAAAAACTACTTTTTAACATTATGAGGTGATGGTGAAACTACTGTTATTGAAATGTTCTGGTTTTTCAGGCCGTCGTCTGTTAAAATCTCTTCCTGGCGTTGGAGGTACCTTAGCGGTAACACAACCTTCTGAAAATGCCAGCGAAACGTCACAAAAAAATTTCAACAGACTATGGCCTAAATATCTGAAACCACAGATAGTTACTTTTACTAGCGTTTGATACTGCCATTATTCATTATTTCTAATTAAAATAATATTTTATAAACAACAAATGTTGTAACGCGTAAAAATTCAAAATACATCAAAACGATTGCAAATGCAAGATGGTACCGAAGTAGTACCTAATTCCTCTTTTCACTCCACTCCTGAAATACCGAAGGTACTCCTTTTACTCTGTTTCCTAAATCCGAATGATTGAGGAGTGAACAAAGTTACTGGAGTTAATATCCGAACTCACCTAAATTATATTCCGAGCCGAGGTTCAGTAAATGTACTCAAAAGCACGCAAGTGTAATTTTTTACTAGGACCGCAATGTGGACAAAATATTGAGTTCCGATGTATGTGAATTTTAGAAATATAAATTTGCAATACCCTAATACCAATGAAAATTGGAAAAAATGTATTAAAAATATGAAAGGTGATGTGATAAAAATTGAGATGTTTGTCAGAATTTTCATTAGTATGTCCATAAAGTGCAGTACATTGTATTTGGTTTCTCTATGGCATGTAAATGTATTTGTTGCTTGTATAGTTTTATTTAATTCCTTGGGTTCAAAAGCGATCATATAGTCTTAGAAAATAAATACGAAAATGATATTTTCAATCTTCAAAGTGAAAGAAATACAAACATTCATATTGAGTAAAAATTATTTTATTTAGTTGTCATTCTCGTTCGCCGGAAGACGTGTAACTATCATTCACATTACAAATTATTCGATTCGTTGCTCTAAAATATTGTCTAATTTCCACATTTTTTGCTCCACGTGATCAATGCGTCTTTCCATTTTTTTATAGTAAGTGTAAACTCTAGATGCTAATTTTACTTAGGTTACATTTCATGAGTAGACTCGCCTGAACGAATTATTCTTTTAGATAATTTGATTTACAGCTAGTCTTCAAGTATGTCCCTTACGTTGTTTACCTATTTAATATAATTAATTCACACAGATTCTTTGGAAGAATGCTCCATTTTCTTCTTTGATATAGGGTAACATTCTTCACAAATCAGTTTTGGACCAGTTACTAAGGTATGATTTGCTGAACACGCCTGAAGAAGACATATAGTAAAACGCTTGTTGTGGTTTTTGAAAACTATACAGTGAAAATATCAAAATCTCGCATTTCGAAAAATTTTTTCTCAATATTTACCAAATAGCTAAACATTTAGCTCTAGTAAAACTGAAAGTTTGACGGATTTAACCCAAGAGCCATCATTGATGTTCAATAACACTTGAAAGACCAACAACAGGAACCTAGCTCCTATAGGTCTGGAGCCCCTTTGATACATACACCAATAACAGAAAACTTATTTCTTTTGAATTGGCACTAAGCTCCTTTAGGATGAAAGAGCTTTAATTGTTGTTTCCTTCTTAAAATAATAAGGGATGGTAAAGAAAATACACTACAAAAGTATAAAAAATATATAATTAACTAAATGGACGGAAAAATAGTTTCAGCTACAAAAAAACTAAGACGGAATTGCCAGATATATTATAGTACAAGTGTGTTTGACTTTTGTTTTCAATTAATAACCTAGTGTGTTTGAAAAGGCAATTCTTCAGTCTTTTCATTTACATTTGATCAGTTACTTTTTTAATTAATTCCAACTACAACTCTAAAATATTTTTTTTTTCAAATTAACAATTATGTTGAGCCCCGATTTTCATTTGGTCAACAGATCACTCATATACCTGGAAAAATTCATGTAAAGGCAATAAATATATGGTAATTTTTTACACACCAAAAAGCTTTTGAAACAATTTGATTAGTTAATATTGAAATACGAATTGAATTAAACTAATATCGAATAATTGGCTTGGTTTTGAAAGTCATTTAAATGAGGTTTGTGTGATCAGAATTTGTAGATGATAATAATTTCACACCTTGGATACTTCTTTGAGATTTCATGAAAAACATGGAATATGAATAAAATAAAAATAAGTGTATGTATGTAATTTATTCTAATTAGTATGGATAACTTGTGAGGTCATTAAAAAACTCCATCACAAAATCCTTTTTAGCTAGTCAGGTGTTATCAATAGTTTGCTAAGTAGCCCTTCTATGTTGAAAACAACTTGAAATCTATTCAATTTTGATTAGCAAAGAGAAACTTGCAGATCTTGATTGAAAAAAAAAGCTTTCAACAATGATCCAATATTTCTATTCACATGGTTCTATCGAATGGAATAATTGTGAACTTTCCCACTTTCTTTTCAAGTTACAAGAAGTCGGATATCCCCATTAAAAATCGTATAGGTATTCAGTGAAAACACACAAGATATATGAAATTAATAATCATCTTTAGCATCAAGATCTGATTCACCAACAAACTTGCTTATCTGAGACGAGTTGCTTGAGAGTCTTCTGAGTAATAAGTCGCATAGCATGAGTGGGTACCGAAGAACTGTACAAAACGCACAGTATATTGTCGTCTTCTTTGAGGGCGTGACACTTATGATACTCAGAACACCAGTAAGTTTCCACGCAGTTGTGCTCGACCATGGAATCCATCTCGTCCGATGGACCTGTGTTCTCGGCTACCTGATTTGTGGGAAAAAATTCGTCCATGACAGTTCGGTAGAAAAAAGTACGTAAAATGTCCAAGCGATGTGAGCTGTTGGTGGTTTTCCTCGACGAAGACTGTTGAGTGCTTTTGGACATCATGAACTTTCTCTTAGTTGTGTTCACTAACAGTTGACTGTAACAATATTTCAATTAGATACATTTTCTTGAAAATCGATATCCCAGAGGAAAGTTGTTCATCAAATAGACATTTATCTAAAGAGTATTCACCGTTATTTGATGAAAATTTTGTTCTTCCTTTGGAATTTATACATTTTTTTCATCTTATTGGAAAAATAAAAGGTCAAAAAATGGTTTTTTCATCCCTAAGAAATTATCTTTTTGGAAAACAGAGGCAAGTTGGATTTACCTATTTGAATACTTCAACAGAGTTTTTTGTTTGATTGATGACCTATTTATTTTGCAGAAATTCATATTGAATATAGGACAAATAAATTAGCTTTTGTCTGATTTCTACTATAATTTTTATTTGTTACGACCGGTTTCGGTTTGTTAGACCATTTTCAAGTAACTGAAGTATTTTTCACAAACAAATTCTTAAATATACAATGAAATAGTAAGTATATATGCTTTTGGTACCTGCAATACCAAAACATTAATTATTTAGAAAATGACCAACTACTGATCCCGAAAAACTATACTTGTGGAATGGATTCTAACCTATTTGTTGACATTCATAAATTCAGAGTTCTAGTTGGTGATTGAGAGTTTTGAAATTGGGGTTTTTATGTAATTTATTTATTTCTAATGCTTCACCTCCCTTCCTATGTTGCACGTATGAAGAATTTTCATGTTTTCTCAATTTATTGTGTGGTTTGTTTCTTTTAGTTGTCCGTATAATAATAATAATGTATCTTTATTTTTTTTTGAAATACATACACCCCATGATAGAAACAAGGAGACAACAAGGTGACAACAAAAACCAATCCTGACGCTGGACAGAAGTGCTCACCTCAATCTAAGGGGGTGGCTAGGGATGAACAGAAATGTCCCCAATCTACCCTCCCTAGAAGTTCACTAGAATATGCCATCTGCTTCATGATCTTCATTTCTTTTTGAAAAGCTTTCTCTGATGACGGAATCATAAATGCTCCTATGTATCACTGATCTGAATACCGATAATGTATGTGATAATGGAGATTGTACAGTCTATAAAAGTATTCTTTCTATATTTGTTGAATTGAAATTTATTATTAATGTTTGTGATAATGAGGATCAATAAGGATCAATTTAAGCCTCTACTACATTTAACCAATCGATATCCAGATATAGATCTGATGAGCTCAAATGAATTTTATGGTAATGAAACTACTTTTATATAGTTTTGGTTGCAACTGCGGCAGTCATCTTCATCTTCAGTAGCGTGGTCGAAGTACTCTTTTTGGCATATCAACTGAAAGCTTACATTCCTATACTTTTATATACTTTCATTATTACCAGAAAACATTTAGGAAAACAATGAAAATGACATGCACATTATAAATAAGAAAAAATAAAACAAAACCCATTTTGAAATTATTGCCCCCTTTTCACAATTCTTTAGGAATATAAACTGAAAAATCATTATGAGTTCATTACATCACTGCTTCTGTTGACATAAATAAGGCTCAAAAAACCCTAAAAAATGAGTAACTCGTGTCATATTATAATGTTGAGGAACGACCTAAAGTATTTAGCAATCTTCAAAATGAACATCTTTGAAAAAATTCTAATAAGTTGAGGAAGCAATAATCTTACCCGAGAATACTTGGGTCAACAGAACAGGTGACAGGAAAATTTCTAGGCACACTCTGAACAGCAGCCTTGAGAATATCTGTGGAGTTTTTAAAACACTGTGTTACATAGTGTTCAATTTCACTCAGTACTGGCGTTGGGCCACAGAGGCAACACAGCTGAACTTCTGGTACCAATGTGCAGGTTACAAACCGAAAAGCTACCTGAAGTTATATGAAGTTAACATGTCTGTATACATTATGCGACATTGAATACCAAACAAATTGAATATTTCCAAGACACATTTGTTGAGAAAAAAATGCAGAAACTGGTTGATTTTTAATTCAAAGATGACATCGTTCTATCATAACCTCAACTTTCATACTTCCTCCCACACCCCTTGGAGACCTTCAGATTTGAATGGGGAAAGTAATGAGTGTGACACATTATCAAAGAGGTAATTTTATAGGGAATTTATCGATGTGACTGTTCACTATGTAGCTTTTCATTTTGGTGCTCTCTTGTGGAAAAAACGCCACCAAGTAACTCCAAAAATGCACCAGAATGTCAGATGTTTCAAAACTAACTTATACGCATGCATGGTAGTTAATGGAGAACAGTTCGAGCATATACTGTGGATTAATGTAATTTGAAATTAATAAAATTATTTATCCATTATTTGAAATACAGACAGTTGTTTTTCCTGGAAGAGGGCGCGAAAATGAAAGTTTATACAATGGACAGTCACACGGATGAATTCCTTGTAGAATTACCTTTTCAATGTTTTGTCACACTTAGCACTTTTCCTATTCAAACTCAAAGAGCTGTGTCATGAAGATATTCGATATGCTTTGTTTTCAGTGCGGCACTCTGTATAAGCATCTCTTTGGTATTAGTGTCACTTACCGTTGGACTTTTGTAAGGTAAGAAAACAGGAATATCCTTCGATTCGCCAATAATTTCTGTGGAAGCAAGTAGTCCTAGTAATCGAATTTCAACTGGATGCAGAGACCACCAGTTTTCCGTGGCTACTGCTATTTTTCCTGACACTAGTACGCAACTGTACATAGAATCCAAGCATTCTGTGAAAGAATCCAAAACAATCTAGAAATAATTTTCAAAATGCATTCTAAGGTAAATGAATTTGAGATATACCTGTATCAAATGATTTTCTGCACAAAGTATTGTTTCTACAAATCCCACAATGTCTGAGGAATGTTTATTGCCGGGATCCCCACAATCCAGAGAATCTAAGAGTCTGTCAATAACAGGCAAACACACCTGAAAAGATTGTATCTAAATTCCTTTATTCATTTCTGCGCATGATCCATATATCAAGGTCAAATTTTCATGCGCTTCCATAGACTCTTGAGCTTTGGTGGTTCTAAAATATACACTAATTATGATGTTATTAAAAATATGGAAACGTCAAAATATTAATTGATAAATTTGTTGTGATTAGCGAGTGACAATTGACAGATGACGGATTTGAATTTACAATTTTGAAAGGGTGATTAATAAAATGAACTCTGGTTACTTTCTTCTTGTTTTCAAAAAGAAAACGGAAACGTTACTGAACCAACTAGTATTTGTAATTTGTACTTCAGTTTTTACTTTGAGAACAACTTAACTTTCCGCTCATCATACATAACACACTTAAGAATTGATGACATAACCATCATGTTTTAAAAGTAAACAACAATAGTATATTTTTCAGAAACCGATGACAAAAATTCTGGTTAGTAGAGGTCAAGAAGTGGTTGTTTCCTCTATCTTCTATGGTTACTCTTAAAATAATCAGAATGGATGTATACTTTTTCAGGGGTACATGTGGAAACGGGTAGTGTCGCCAAGACCTTTGAAATTTTGTACGCACATAGCCGTAAGGTTTTTCCATTGTGTTTCGGGGAAGTTTTTTTCAATATTCTTTTTCAAGCACTTGGTTCGTTTTGCCAAGGACTTGATAAAATTTCTAAAGGATTTCATAATTCCAATAGTATCTATATCAATAGAATAGGGAGGGTGAGTATAGGCCCACAGCACTTAGGCTACATGTGACCCATTGTACATCCTCCCAAGGAGTTGTCCTCCTAAGTCATCGTCGATCATGTCCTTTCCAGGAAGGTGGATAGGTCACTAGTAGACATCTTCTTCATATCGGCAGGTGTAGGCCAAGACTCGTCGAACACACACTCTCTTATTGACGATAACTTCGGACACTCGCATAGGACATGCCTCATAATTTCATCTTCCTGTTCAGACATCCTGCATAGAGGTGTGTCCACTAGTCCCATATTATGGAGGTGTTTTCTTAGTTGACAGTGGTCAGTCAGAAATGCTACCGTTAAGCGTAGATTTTTCCTGATCATCGCTAGATAATTCTTCGGCGCCAGCTTCCCAAGGCAGCCCAGGGTGATCCTGGCAAGAGTGCATCTCTGTAGAGATTGAGCATGGGTGTAACGTTTGGCTAGTTCCACAATTGTCGAAATCATCAGGTCGTAGGTGCCACTGGGTCTTAAAATTCTCAGTCCAGCCGCTTCCTTGACTGAAGAGTCGGCAATGCGATTACCTTTACTCCTGTCGTGCCCTTCAATCCACCTCAGGATAATGTTATTGTCTACCGAGGCTTTGGCTAAATCTTCCAAATGGTCCAGATTTCCATTGATTCGTTAATGTTGCCAGCCAATATTTGGGACGGTTCGCTATAACATTGTTTTGTGAATAAATCGTATACAAACTGGATAAAAAAACCTTCTCGAAACAACTTTACTTTCATGTGCATATTGAATTACAAAAAAAAATCACTTTTCTTTATTCAGTTCGTGCTCTTGTGTTAAGGAAATGAATCAGATATCATAAATAGGATTGCTACACAATATAGTAAATGGAAGAGGTAAAATTTCACTTACTCCGAATACTGTCTTTGGATAAACTCAACTACTATGGTGTAAGGGGCATACCTCTGGATTGGATACGGTCATATCTTTGTGACAGATGGTAGTATGTCTCAATTAAAAACGAGTCCTCTGGGTACTTTAAAAAAACGACTTGGGTGTCTCACAAGTGTCATTACTTGGCCCTTTGCTATTCATAATTTACATCAACGACATTGATAAGCTCCCTGTGCCATCATCCTTCACTATGTACGCAGATGACAACTCACTTAAAATGTCCAACACTCGAGAAACTTCCATAACGAAAAACTAACGAAACTTTCTCCGTAGTTAATAATTGGTTCCCGGCTAACTTTTTTTTTCAAAATATTAATAAAACAAAATATCTTAGATTTCATAGCTCACAGAGAACCTGTGAGGTTATCCTATGATCTCCACCAATGTCACAAGAACGAAGTTTCTGGGATTAAATGTCGATAACCATCTTAATTGGAAGTCTCACTGCGAGGATATTGTTTCCAAACTTTACAAAGTTGCCTATCAATTTGAGAATATAAAAGAAATTTTGAATCTTGATCAGTTGTTGCAGCTCTATTATGCACAGGTAGAAAGTAGACTACGATATGGTGTGACCTTTTGGGGAACATAAACTTTATCGTTTTGTGTTTTCATAGCACAAAAACGTATTACATAACTTATACAATACGTATAAGTTTGAAAACGTCCGTACTTATTGTATAACTTATACAATAAGCATAAGTTTGAAAATGTCCGTATAACTCATACAATAAGTATAAGTTTGAAAATGTCCGTATAGGACGAAACTGCAGTAACGTTGGTTACAAATAAAAGTGGTAAAAAAATATAGAAAGTTTCATTTCTCTTTTCTTCATTATTTATAATTGTTTTATGAGGTGTTTGCCATTCGTTTTTTGCTGGTATATGCCTTTGTTATTGAACCCTTTGTTTGACTTTTTCCGTACAGTTTGTACCAGAAAATAAAATCATATCCTCTTCTATTCTATTCATCTTCAATCGATGCTTCGGAATAATATACTTTCTTTATTGCATCTTCAGCACCAACATTACATTAAAACATTGAAAGATGAAACACTCAATTTATTCATAACATTTCGAATGCATGTCACGTATGAGTTGAATCTATTCATGTCATTATGACAGTATGTACTGACATTCATTCGCTTATTTGATGTAATCCCAGCCATAGGAATTTTGATTAAATTGAAAAGGAGATCATATCTTGGGTATCTACTTTACCATCTCTATACAGCTTTGTAACGATTTTTTTTTAATTTATTTTTTGTAAAGAGTTCATTTTGGAATTAACTGCTTTCATTCTTTCTTTGGAAGATTTCCCCAGTACGAGAAGTTGTGTACGCCCCTGTTCCCAATAATGTGAAAGAAAAAAGGACAAAGAAATGACAAAAAAGGAATGTTTGCACACCTGTTTTTGATCTTTAGGAATGCTGGCATAGGAATCCGAACCAATACTCATTTTTTAAATATAGATAAAAGTACTAACATAATTAAATGTGGTTCTGAAACGTTGAAATGCCGAATGCCAGTTACAAGTGAAGTTGAATATTTTGAAAGTGCGGTTTAGAAATTACCTTTTTATTTGCATTGTGATTTGTCAAATTGAAATCTAAATATCTGTAAAACCAGCTTCAAGAATCATGAGCCTCATCATAACCGATGATCTGTTGGAAATACTCACCTGCAACAGTTGTTTGCGGTATTTGTCTGTACGTCCCGTGAAAGTATACCCAAATAGAAAAATTATGTGCGGAAGGTGCTCTCATGTTGGAGATTCAGGTGTAGTCTCGCTATTCAATCTGTTTGCTGATAAGTGTTTCTTCAAGTGCACCAACAGATTTGATGGGTGCAGGGAACTTTTGCCCTATTCTGAGGTTCCGAAACATGAATCAATATGTTTTGGAAAATTCTATCTTTGCCCGATATGTCCAGTTTCCACAACGACGATGCCTAGTTTTATGATGATCTCCCACTTCCAGGATATTCATGTAAATATGTTCCTTCGTGTTCCATATTTTTCCATCAATATCAATGCCGCATCAGATAAATTTCTTTTTTTCTTGTATAAACATCAGGAAAGGCTGTTCTTTATCAGTTTCAAAGTACATTCATCAACTGATTATATTGAGATTAACAATATGCTCCTGGGAGAACATGAAGATGCAGAAAATATGCGCTGGAGGTTCATAATTGATACTCAAATATATTCTGAAGAAAATCCTTGTGATGTTTATGATTCATGGATAAATAATCATGGGATAAAGATGGTGAAGTCTGGAATAACGAAAACAAACGGAAACATAAATGTAACCATTGAAATTAATATGGTAACAGCGCCAGCGGGTGGCTTCTTAAAGTTACGAACATTTGAACCTTCTGCTCGAGCTGGTGGAATTCATTATGATCATTTCAAGTTGAGATATATACATTTGAATGATAGATTTCTGAAAACTTATCCCAGTTATTCAGTTGGAGATAATTTGACTTCATTGATGTGTACTGTCAGAGATGCTACATTCGAACTTGTACTTTGCTGTTTCAATTGTAATCAAATGGCTTATTCCGTCTGTGAAAATTTTACTGATGATATATTCGTAGTAATAATGAAAGAAAAATTTTATCTTTCATGTGATTATTGTACAAAGGCGGAAACTGGTTATTGCGCACCAACAGATGTCATAAGAAAAGAAACTTTGAAATCAATCTTATTTTTCTGCTATTGGAATTGTGGGTCACTTTTCAACATAGATTCTTTAAGAATACATGAAATGAGTTGTCCCCTTCAGCCACGTCAGAAGTGCCCTGTGAAATATTGTGACTTCACAGATAAATTGATTGATATTGAACAGCACTTGATAAAAGTTCATCCGCAATTATTTCCAGAATTCGATGAAAAACGAATTGGAACCATAACTTTGGAATTATCGATTGAGAAATCTCCGTTGAAAAACTTCGTAATTGTCGGACATGAGTTTATTCTAGTGAAATTAGATTTTAATGAACCACAATGGATTGTAAGTATTTCTAGGCGCAATCAGGTTAGAGAGTTTCGTGAGAGATCGATAGCAGTGGCAGTAATATTTGATAAATATAATAATGTTATCATAACTTTGAATGAATATAGAAATGTAGCAATTTGCCATATGGAAACGATACAGGTAAAATGTTATTTTGAGAAACGTCCCATGTCAAGTCATAAATGAATATTTTGTAAATGCTATGTATTGATAATTTTAAGATTTTGTTACTTTCATATAGATGTTTTGATTTTTGTTTCTTTGGTAGGTGAAGAATAATAGAAATAATAAAATACATTATTGAAAAATCCTATCTCGTGATTTTAT